AATCCACGTCTGAAAGGAAGCCTCTAAACTTTTTTTTTTAATCACGCCAGAAGGCCTATAAATACTTAGAAAGATCAACGCTTGCTTCCGGTAGCAATATTCGGTAGTCGGTATGCAATGTAGGTATAGCACTCATATAACGGAATTCCCAAAATTGAAAGGATTTTAAAAATAACCGATTGGGCCATAATTCCAGATTTCACTTGGTGGAGAGAAAAATTTCGGACCTACCATACTTATCGTCAGTTTAGTGTTGTTATTTATATTAAGCATTTTTACAGCATTCTGTAAGGCAATTCCCCCAATTTCCTGCAGTCTAGTGTTCCAATTTAAAAAAAAAATATTAGCCCCTAAAAGTATGCTATGAAAATGTATAATATAAATATCCCACCACTGAAGCCAGACACTTTACATATGATTAACATTATGTGTAAACTTGCCTTTATATTGGGAATAAATCTTTCTGTTATTTATCAACTTTACTTTCATCTGTATGCGTAATTGCAAATACCAAACAACAACAGCAACAAATAAAAAAAAACTAAATCCAATTATTCGTTGCTCAACAAAATACTATTATTTGTGAGCTTTGTAACAAAAAATATTGTTATTTTCCTTTCGTTAAATTTCGTTTTGTTTTTTCTTTCTTTTTTCTCCCTAATTTTTTGTTTACTTCTTTGCTCATAAAATAAATCTCAGCAGAGAAGAGAAAAAAAACACTAAAAAGAAAATATTCCTAAATGAGTAAGTGGTGGTGGGTGACCGATCAAATGTCTGTCTGGCTGTGTGTATAAATATTTCATATTGAGAGAGGCGAAGAGAGCGAGATCTTTCCCCTTACTAGATGACAGATTTTCTGATGTGTACAATGTAATATAAAACTGCCGCAAATGTCGTTTATCGTTTTTATTTTGTGATTGCCTTTATTTGATTGGATTTTTGTTGTTGTTGCTATTGTGATTGTTACTCTTTCAAAGTGTATACTAATAAAAACGTCATCCCATTATCATAGATTTTTTTGCATGCAGCAATGCATATGTATGTATGTGTGTGTGTATTTGCTGTACACCACTCATTATTATATTTGCTGATATGAGTTTACAGGTTTCGTTTCTATTTGATTTCAAGTGGTGAGCTTTTTTTTACACTTTTACTTTTATTTGCACATCACTCGTCGTCGGCGGCACAATAAGGGGGGGGGGGGGTCTCTCTCTCAGAGTCTTGTCTCTCGTTCACAATCGTCGGCATTGTCGCCGTTGTCGTAATTGCGAATAGAGGTAGACACGATGAAAACAATACTACATACAAAAGGTCAATTACATTTATTCATACATTGGTTGAGCGGTGCCAATAGATGTGTGGTGAAAACATTCATACCTACCTTAAATTTTAAAACAGGCCCCAACCGTTGCTGAAAAACAGTCACACACACAAAACAATTTTTAATTTATATATTATATAGTTTATTGTTTGTTATCGTTTTTTCATAGAGATTATATAAATTAATATGTATTTGCAATTTCAGATTACTTTTTGTTAGTGTTTTTGTGTAAATACCCCAGACATTGTTTTGTGGGGAGGATTGAAATTCTAAAATGCAAAGCAAAAGGAAACGCACATTTAGTGTCCCAGTTGAGCTTTAGTTTTGAAACGGGAATCAACCAAAATTGAGGAGAATATAATTCATATAATTCACCATTACTTTCATGACTCCAAATTCGTTGTGTCTTCCAGCTTCAAAGAAATACCAACGATTTGAGGTGAATTAATGTCAAAACTTCACTGCCTCTCATTCTTCCAATTCCGGAAATTCCCCCCTTTGATTGTTTTCTGTTACGAAGCCCCTTTCCCTTACTCCTAATTCACTATCAGTGTGTTCTACATCAAAATTTAATTTAAATAAAACACCCGGTTTTGATCAATCCTCCACATAGCAACAATGTAGTGGTTGAAATCCAAAAATAGATTTTCAAAGCGTCAAACAAATTTGCAAAGTTTTTTTTGTTTGTTTGTTGGCACTTGTTGGTATTCCTCCGCCGTGGCCGGTAAATGTGTCGTAAACAAGCCAGCAAACAAATATTTGTTTTGAATACATTTATTTCATTAGCCGGCTGGCAGACAAACAGCCATTAAATTCAAGCCATCTTTTTGCCAGAGATAGACGAGGGAGAAAGAGAAACCGGGGGCAATTAAAGAACACACACACGATTTTAAACAATTAAATAAATTATATTCAAATTCTTCAAGGAAAAGAATCTGAAAACAATTTCAGAATATGACTGGTAAGAATTAGAAAAGGAATCTAATGATCGGATCTATAATGTTTTCCATAAAAAAAAAACAGAATGCAAAAAAAATATAAACCCGGACCTGTTTAAAACTGCTGTCAAAGAGGGATCGTTGCTCATTAAGAACCCAATTTGTTGGCAAAATCGGCCGAAATCGAACAGTTTTCGTATTTGTGGGGGACTACACGATAACTTGGACCAATATTAATTTTCATACTGAACGAATTGTATAATACCAATAATATTTTTTAGCTCCTTAAGGTGTGCTTAAATTTTTGATATTTAGTTATTGCGTGATTTTTGGCCCGATTTTTCAATTAATTTATCTGAAAATATGTATTTTGGTTTCTTAGGAGGTAAAAAATCGTAACCTATCAAAATATTCTATTTAAATATTCCGTCTCAAGGAAGTTTTTAGCCATATTTTGAGAAGGTCCAAAATGGGCCTTTAGTGGCTCGCTTTAGGGTTAAGGTTACAAGAATTCCTTGAACATTTTCAAAACGTCGATACACGGGTCTTCTACTTATATGTTCATTTTCATATTTAAAGGCTTTTGTCTGTTATTTTTTTAGTCATTTAAATTATGCGCCTATAAGTATGCTCTAAAGTTTTCTTCTGGAAAGTATTTGTGAATATACAAAAACGGAGAGCTGGGCGACCAAAAGGGAGTCTTAATACTCTACCAAAAGATGGTCCTTATAGACCAGCAGAAGGTTTGCTTATGGACCAGTCAAGACTTTATAGAGACCAACACAAGGGGGTCTTTATAGATGAGCAGAAGGGGGTCCAATATGAACGATCAGTAAAGACTTTATAGACGAGCAGAATAAAGTCTTTATAGACGAGCAGAATGAAGTCTTTATAGACGACCAGAAGGGAGTCTTTACAGACGACCAGAGGGAATTTTTTATAGGCGACCAGAGGAGATTTTTTATAGGCGACCAGAAGGGAGTCTTTATAGATGACCAGAAGGGAGTCTTTATAAACAAGCAGAAGGGAGTCTTTATAGACGACCAGAAGGGAGTCTTTATAGACGACCAGAAGGGACTCTTTATAGACGACCACAAGGGAGTCTTTATAGACGACCACAAGGGAGTATTTATAGACGACCACAAGGGAGTCTTTATAGACGACCACAAGGGAGTCTTTATAGACGACCACAAGGGAGTATTTATAGACCACCAGAAGGGTGCCTTTATAGACGACCAGAAGGGAGTCTTTATAGACGTGCAGAAGGGAGTCTTTATAGACCAGCAGAAGGAAGTCTTTATAGACGACCAGAAGGGAGTCTTTATAGACGACCAGAAGGAAGTCTTTATAGACGAGCAGAAGGAAGTCTTTATAGACGAGCAGAAGGAAGTCTTTATAGACGAGCAGAAGGGAGTCTTTATCGACCAGCAGAAGGGGTCTTTATAGACGAGCAGAAGGGAGCCTTTACAGACGACCAGAAGGGAGTCTTTATAGACGACCAGAAGAGAGTCTTTATAGACGACCAGAAGAGAGTCTTTATATACGACCAGAAAGAAGTCTTTATAGACGACCAGAAGGGAGTTTTTATACGCGACAGCTTGTCTCTTCTATATGAGCAGAAGGCAGTCTCCTAAAGATAGCGAGATGATAGACTCCTATAGAGGGCCAAAAGTTGCTCTGCAACAGACGACCATAAACTAGGCTCTAGATGACCAAGATCGCATATACACAGAAATAGCATCAAATTTTAGAATAAGTTTAGATTTGTTCGAATTGATCACCTTTGGCATGAATTATGGCCTTCAAACGGCCAATGAAACCGTCACACGCTGTCCGAATGTGGCTCTGCGGTATTTTGGCCCATTACCGGCGAAGCGCTTGCTTGAGGTGATCGATACTTTGGTATTTTTTAGTGCCAGCCTTGCTTTCCAAAATACTCCAGACACAATAGTCCAACGGAATGGTATCCGGAGATTTTAATGGCCATTATGCGCTGGAAATGAAGCGAGGAACCTCATTCTGTAAACATTATTGGGTGGTGTGTGCAGAGTGCAATGGTGCTGAGTCCATTATATTTCGTCATTTACGATAATATTCGTCATTTATTCTGATGCCACGATCGATTAATACGAGCGGAGAGCGACCATCGGCTGTTATGGCGGCTCACACCATCACCATGGCCAGCACTTGAGGTTTGGTTGGCCAACCGAAGGTGCACATATCAGCTGTCCTCTTTGGCAAGTAAACACGATCATTTTGTTTGTTTATTCCAGTTGTCCTGCAGTGTTTACAAACTGCAGGACAACGAATGTTTTCTCATCAGAGAAAACCAAATTCGGCAGCTCACCACTTTCGGCCACTTGCGAAGCTAATTTTTAACTCTTTTGAGTCCATTTTTCTTTCTGTTGCGTTGTAAGCTCTTGGACTTTTTGGAATTTCAATGGTATATGGAATGGAATATTGCGATATGTTCAGCTCACGAGCCATTTTTCGGCCACTGCGACGCGGGTTTCGATCATGTGGCTTCTTTACTTTTCGAACCATTTCTGCTGATGTTGCTGTTTTCTTCCGTCCACTTCCTTGACGTCGGTCTACGCTCTATAATGAGCTGTCACTGGAATAATTTTCGGAAGTTGGTTTCAATTTTTTTATCTCACCCTGAATATATATTTCAATATCATTCAATTCAAACTTCTGACTAATTTTTTGTAATGTTTTCTTTCCTCTCTTTTCCTTTGCAGGATGGAAGAAGTTTCATAATACAAAATCAGGCACAATTCGCCCGAGAATTGTTGCCACTCAATTACAAACACAACAACATGGCCTCGTTCATACGACAGTTGAATATGTGTAAGTAAAGCCTTAAATAACCCCGCCTTTCCACTCTTTTCGCTGATACATATTTCCCTCCCTTTCCCTGACAGATGGTTTCCACAAAATCACCTCCATCGATAATGGTGGCCTGAAATTCGATCGTGATGAAATGGAATTTACCCATCCCTGTTTCAAGCGCAACTGTCCATATCTCTTGGAACATATTAAACGTAAAATTGCCTCAACCAAGTCCGTGGATGACAAGTCGGCAATGAAACCCGAAGCCGTGAATAAGGTTCTGCAAGATGTCAAGGCCATGAGGGGGCGTCAGGATTCGTTGGATTCACGTTTTTCGGTTATGAAACAGGAAAATGAGGCCCTGTGGCGTGAAATTGCTTCGCTGCGCCAGAAACATGCCAAACAACAGCAGATTGTCAATAAATTAATACAATTCCTGATAACAATTGTCCAGCCGCAGCGGAATATGACCGGCGTAAAACGTCACATGCAATTGATGATCAACGACACACCCGATAAGATGAAATTGCGCAAGGCCAGTGAATCGGAATCGGATTGTGGTCCAGTCATACATGAACTGGGCGAGGAGCTATTGGATGAGGTATCGGAAGTTGAACCAGATCTAATGTAAGTTTGTCAAAAACAATTGCAACAAAACTAAATAATAATTGCAACATTTTTTCTATTGAATTTCCTTAGGACATCCGGTAGTCCATTTCGCCAGAACTCAACAACCCCAACCACCACAGAGCCAGATGCAGCTGCCTCACCACAACACATTGAACGTCCCCATTCAAGCGTTAGCTTGTTGTCACAAAACTATGACTATTCCAATCAAAGCGGTGATGATGCCAGTTTGGGCTACATAAGTCCCAGCCTCAATAACTCATCATCGTCCAACCAAAAGGAGTTGGTTCAAGCCGTCAATACCACAGATGGTTCAAATATTTTCTATCACATTACCGAGGTACCAGATGCCCATCCCCAAGAGCCGCCGGCACCACCAATCAACTACAATGATGACAATGTTTTGACCACACCCATGGTAAGGGCCGAAGAAATGGCCCGCACACAAATGTTACGGCAGAAGAATCGTCAAAGACGCAAGGAAATGGTTGCCTCTCCAGACAGCATGAGCTCAGGATCACCCAAGGGCAACAACAACAACAACAGTGATGTCACAAAACCCAAACAACAACGTTTACAACAAAGACCACAGCAGCAGCAACAACAACAGCAGCAGCAGCAGATGCTCTCACAGGCCCAAGAATTGCCCCAACCCCTACAAATTAAATCCGAAGATGAACCCTTGGATCCCTTGATCTTTTTGAATGTGTATCCCGATAGCAGTGGTGGCATGACACCCGATCCCAATTTGATTTCACCCAATCTCAGTGAGGAATCACGTCAATCATCGGCCACAAATGGTGCTGGCAACTACATGCTAAAGAGCCCATCCCTCAGCCAAGGCGCTGCTGGTAACAACAGCAACAGCGGTGCACGTGTATCACCCACTGAAAATAATCTCTTGACAGCTGGCACCACCACCACGAACACCAACAATGATTTATACAATCCATCAAATTTCATTACCAACGATATGCCAGCTGAAATATTTGAGGTTAGTTGGAAATGAGAAGCATTGATATTTTTTTTGAAAGTAAGCAGGCATTTTGGGTACTTACCAATATTACTGAGTACCCTTCGAGGGTAAATTTGTTAGTATATATAATATGTTATATTTCGAAAGAAAGTATAGAGCTACATGAACCCTCTAACAACTTCCAAAAAGAGACTTTTTGTGATTTTCTCAAGAACGAACAACAGCTCGAAATTTTAAAATATTTTATTTGAAATTTAAAGATTACTCAGAATCAAGATGTCATAGGTACAGAGTGTCTTTGGTAGAACTTCTGATAACCAATCAAGCAACAAGTTTGTTACGTATGTTAAACCGCTAATGATATATCTAAGGGGACTTTTTGACCTCTTTCTCAAGAAATTACAAAAAAAGTGATTTAAAACTTTAAAGTTCAATTTTGAATTTAAAGATTACTTGTAAATGAGGTATTTGAAGTACACAGGGTTTTGAGTAATCCTCCTGATGACCTTTAGAGTAACAAGTTTGTGAAATATATTAACCAGCTGACGGCTTGTCTAAGGGGACTTTTTGGTCCCTTTATCAAGAAATCACAAAAATTGATATACAATTTGATGATGATTTGGAGTCGGAAGATTCCTCTTAATCTTGGCATTTTAGGTATACAGTGTCTTTGGCAATTTCACTGATAACCCTCTGGGGAACATGTTTGTGACCTCTAACCCTCTAAGGACTCATTGAAGGAAACTTCTGATCGGTTTGCCAAATGAAGATTTTTAATAATAATTATACCCTCAGCCATATGGCTACAGAAGGCATATATCATTTGATACAGCCAAAACGTGGCTCATCAATATAACGGTTTTGGACCCTAGGTCTCTTTAAACCATATCCGCTTCAGGATATTTGGCCGTCTGTCCGCACGATAACTCTTGAAGGGAGTATCCGATTTTATCCAAACTTGGTACATCGTAATATTATTGTCAAACTCAGAACGAGTTCGGAGATGGGCAATACCGGTCCACTCCTTCTGGTACCTCCCACACAAAATGTCAAGATTTTTAAAGAAAATAATTTACTGTACAGAAAGTGAAAGGCTAATCCGATTTTGCTTCAACTTTGCATATCGTAATATTTGCATCAGTGCTAGGTCATGTGCGAAAATGGACAATATCGGTACACTCCATCAAGTACTTCCCCCACAAAGGGTCAAAATTTTGAAAAATTATAAATCTTATAAAATGTGATGTAAGAGTGCGATTATCTTGAAGTTACACACATCCCAATATTTTTATCAACCCAAGGTCTGGTGTTAAGATGTAATATAACGGTCCACTCCTTCTGGTACCTCCCCCACAAAAGGTCGAAATTTAAAAAAATATATTTTTAGCACAGAAAGAGAAAGGATAATCCGATTTTGCTTCAACTTTGCATATCCTAATATTTGCATCAGTGCTACGTCAGGTGCGAAAATGGACAATATCGATGCACTCCATCAAGCACCTTCCCCACAAAGGGTCAACATTTTGAAAAATTATAACTCTTATAAAATGTGATGTAAGAGTGCGATTATCTTGAAGTTACACACATCCCAATATTTTTATCAACCCAAGGTCTGGTGTTAAGGTGGAATATATCGGTCCACTCCTTCTGGTACCTCCCCCACAAAATGTCGAAATTTAAAAAAAAATATATTTTTAGCACAGAAAGAGAAAGGATAATCCGATTTTGCTTCAACTTTGCATATCCTAATATTTGCATCAGTGCTACGTCAGGTGCGAAAATGGACAATATCGATGCACTCCATCAAGCACCTTCCCCACAAAGAGTCAAAATTTTTGAATAATTTTAAATCTTATAAAATGTCATGTTATATTCCGATTTTTTTCAAATTACACACAACACAATATTTTTATAAATACAAGGTCTGTTGTGAAAATGGAATAAATCGGTCCACTCCTTCTGGTACCTCCCCTACAAAGGGTCAAAATTTTGAATATTCATGAAGCTCATAAAACCTCGTAGGTAACATTCGATTCCATTCAGACTTGACACATCTCAATATTTCCATCAACACAAGATATGTTACAAAAATGGTAGAGATCGGACCATTCCCTCCAGTACCTCCCCCACAAAGGGTTAAAATTTTGTATAACCAAAACGATCATAATATCCGAAATAAGCATCCGATTCTCTTCAAGTTACACACATAACAATATTTTTATTCACACAAGATATGCTCTGAAGTTGGAGTATATCGATCCACTCCTTCTGGTACCTCCCCCACAAAGGGTCAAATTTTTGGGTATCCATGGAACTCATAAAACATGAAAATAACATCCGATTCCATTCACACTTAGCACATCTCAATATTTCCATCAACACAAGATCTGTTATAGAAATGGTACAGATCGGACCATTCCTTCTGGTACCTCCCCCACAAAGGGTTAAAATTTTGAATGACCAAAACGATCATGAAATCCCAAATAAGCATCCGATTCCATTCAGACTTGGCACATCTCATTATTTTCGTCAACACAAGATCCCATATAAAGATGGTAGAGATCGAACCACTCCTTCCGGTACCTTCCCCTCAAAGGGTAAAAATTCTGAAAGTTCGTGAAGCTCATAAAACACCAAATTAACATCCGATTCCATTCAGACTTGGCACATCTCAATATTTCCGTCAATACAAAATATGTTATAAAGATGGTAGAGATCGTACCATTGCTTCGTGTACCTCCCCACAAAGGTTTATAATTTTGAATAACCAAAACGATTATAAAATCCGAAATAAGCATCCGATTCTCTTCAAAAATTGTAAGAAGCATCCAAATCCATCCATCCACCTCCTAAAATTTCCCATATACAAACATTTTTGCTAAGACAAATTCTGTAGGGAAGATGATATGCATCTGCCAATCCCTTCTGGTACCTCACAAAGGGTCACAATTTCTAATATTTTTTTCTGTCACAACTTGCGAAACAATTCGGCGGGTCTTTACAACTTGCTATATCTAAATATTTCTCTTAACCAGAAATCTGATATGGATATGTAATTTATCGAAATTTATGCTTCTGCATAAAATCTGATATAAATGTTCGATTTCCTTCAAATTTTGCACATACCAATGTTTTTAGCTGTATTAGAAGAAGTATGAACACGGAATCTTTGATCCGCTATACCTGTTACCTGAAGCACATTTCCACATTTTCTAAAAATTTCCACCTATCTCATATAAAGTTTAAGTAGTATACGATATAGTACAAATCTGGCACGTTTTAACATGAGTCTTAGGTCACATATGAATTGATCAATATTGGCCAACTGCTTCGGAACCTCCCCCCATAAGGAGTCAAGAGTTTGAATAATCTTAAGTCAAGGCAGGGGGTTTGCATCTGTCGGTTTTTTAACGTCATTTTCTTTATTTTTATTTTTCTTTCTCTCTCTCTCTCTCACTTAAAGGATAACACCCTGATGTCTGCTGGAGATAACAGTAATTTCGATGACAACTTCAAATTGAATCTACAAGAACAATTTGGAAGGTCCACCGTTAATAGTGGTAAATTTTCCTCATACATGGCCGGTAATGGTAATGGTGGTGTTGGCACACTTGCCACTGGAGGAAGCGCTGGCCCCTCAACATCGGCTGCCTCTGTGGGCTTGTTAACAAATAATACGAACAACAACAATAATGGCAACGGCAATAACTCGGACACAAAACCCTCAACATCGAAATCATCGAATGGTAACATGACCTTGACAAAATACAACAGCAGCGGCAAGCTACCTTCCAATGAGGATATAATGCGGTTGAGTACAGCGTTAGTAACTGAGAAATGAAATAAATTCTTAGTTGCACTCGCATGAATATTGAAAATACTAACTTGATTGTTTGTTTGTATCCCCTCCCCCTACCCCGTTTAGCTCTGAGGTAAGCGGCCATTTGGAAATAATGCAAGACGAATTGGAATCGTTAAAGGATCTGCTGCGCAGTGATGTCTACTCGTTGGATCACAACACATTGTTGGGCGTAAGTTCATTGCCTATTATTAATGGTCAAGATGAAGCAAATCTTCTAACTGCTGGCAGTAAACAAAACTTGAATATTGAGAAAATAGCTAACCCAACTAATGTATATAGCAACAACATGATTAGTAATGCTAATGGCGAAGACTGTAATAATGTTGGTGGTCAAGAGGAAGATATTGATCAGACACGTTACAAGATACTGCAATTTCTTAATGAGTCCATATTTAATGATTTAGATTAGAGACGGCAGATAGAACGAACGATAGAAAGAAAAATTATTTTTAATTATGGAATTATTGCGGAAATTAATGTTGCTATTCTATAATATAGTTTTGTAAATGATTTTTCTTTGAAACACAGCAACAACAACAAAATATTTTCTCTATTACATATATAAAGCCAACAACAATGGGGTGCGAAATCTTCCCCACATTAGAAATTAGTAAAAAACAAACATATTTTGTTGTGTAGTTTAACAATAATATTTAAACATTATTTGATACACATACTAAATGTACATAATGATTTTTTTATTATTATTTTTTTTTATTATAACATGATGAATATGAATAACAACAACAACAATAAGAATTATAAACTTTTAAAATGGGAAGACAATTTAAATTTCATTTACAGCTACAGATGATAGGTTACATTATTTGATAACATGGCTCGTGACCTTTTTTTTTTGGGAAATTTTGATTTGTTTTTCAAAAAAATAAAAAGGAATTTTCAAATAAACAACATACAGGGTGAGATAAAAAAAAAAACTGCAACAAAGTCAAAACGCCATAATTTTTTACATTTTTTTTTGTTTTTTACATTTTTATTAAATGAAAGCACAAAATGTCGGAAATAGCAACAAATGTTAGAATAAGTTTAAATTTGGTTCGAATTGGTCACCTTTGGCACGAAGGTGTGACCTTTAAACGGCCAATGAAATTGTCACACGCTGCCCGAATGTTTCTCTGCGGCATTTTGAGGTGATCGACACTTTGGTTTTTTTTTTTTTTTTTTTTTTTTTTTTTTTTTTTGGTGTCAACCTTGCTTTCCGAAATACTCCAGACATATTCATGAGGTTAATAAAATGCGATTCCATTCATACTTACTTGGCACATCTCAATATTTCCAGCAACACAAAATTTGTTATAAAGATCGTATAGATCGGACCATTCCTTCTGGTACCACACCACATTTTACACCACAATAACCTCAACGATCATAAAATCCAAAACAAGCAGCTGATTCTCTTCAAATTACACACATCACAATATTTTTATTTGCCCAGGGTCTGGTGTGAGGATGGAATATATCAGTCTACTCCTTTGGGTACCTTCCCCACAAAGAGTCAATTTTTTGAATATTCGAAAATTAACATCCGATTCCATTCGGGATCTTGGCACATCTCAATATTTCCATCAACAGAAGATCTGTTATAAAGATGGCAGATATTGGACCATTCCTTCGGGTACCTCTCCCACAAAGGGTTAAAATTTTGAATAACCAAAACGATCATAAAATCCGAAATAAGCATTCGATTCTCTTCAAATTACACACGTCACAATATTTTTATTTGCCCAGGGTCTGGTGTGAGGAAGGAATATATCAGTCCACTCCTTCTGGTACCTTCCCCACAAAAGGGTCAACATTTTGAATATTCATGAAGCTCATAAAACACGAAATTAACATCCGATTCCATTCACACTAGGCACATCTCAATATTTCCATCAACACAAGAGTTGTTATAAAGATGCTATAGATTGGACCATTCCTTCTGGTACCTCCCCCACAAAGGGTTAAAATTTTAAATACCACAACGATCATAAAATCCGAAATAAGCATTCGATTCTCTTCAAATTACACACATTACAATATTTTTATTTCCCCAGGGTCTGGTGTGAGAATGGAATATATCAGTATATTCCTTCGGGTACCTTCCCCACAAAGGGTCAACATTTTGAAAATTCATGAAGTTCATAAGACTCCTTTGGCACACACGCTGTCCGAATGTTGCTCTACGGTATTTTGGTCCATTCCCAGCGAAGCACTTGCTTGACACTTTGGTATTTTTTTGGTGCCAACCTTGCTTTCCAAAATACTCCAGACACAATAGTCCAACGGATTGGTATCCGGAGATTTTGTTGGTGGCCATTGTGCGCTGAAAATGAAGCGAGGAACCTCATTTTGTTAACTTTCTTGGGTGCCGCGTGCTGAGTGCGATGGTGCTGAGTCCTGTTGAAATGTCCAAGGTCTGCGGCCAAGGCTTTAATACACCCTCCAGAATATTTTCGTAATAATATTCGGCAATTCTGATGCCACGGAGAGCGACCATTGGCTATTATGGCGGCCCATCCCACCACCATGGCCGGGGCTTTAGGTCTGATGTCCAACCTAAGGTGCACATTTTCAGCTGACCTCTTTGGGAAATAAACACAATCATTTTGTTTGTTTACAAACTGCTGGACAACGAATGTTTTCTCATCGGAGAAAACCAAATTCGACAGTTCGCCACTTTCGACCACTTGCCAAACAACTCTTTAGCCTTTTTGAGTCTATTTTCTTTCTGTTGCGGTGTAAGTTCTTTCACAATTTTGAAATTGCAATGGCTTTACCCCGAGCTCATTTTTCAATATTTGCCGCATGGAATATTGCGATATGTTCAGCTCACGAGGCATTTTTCGGCCATTGCGATGCGGGTTTCGATCAAGTCACTTTTTTACTTTTTGGGGTACGTTTCCAGTTCGTTACCGTGAACGGGCGATGGTACGAGACACAAAAGATTTATACACATTTAAATACTGAAGTACTCTAACGATAGCCACTTGTGTCATTTTCCAGCCAAATATAAAAAATCACACTATCACGCTTGAATTCCATCACCAATAACTTTTTTCTGGAAAATTCTCACCAAAATGCTTTTGTACGCTTGTAAACAATATAATGAGCTGTCACTGGAATAATTTTTACAGCTGTCGGGTGAGTGACTTCCATATGACAGCAGTCTGAAGATGGTTGCAGTTTTTTTTTTTCATCTCACCCTGTAGAGATGACCATGCCAGAAGGAAAGTATTCTGCCTTTAGCAAAGAGCCAAATTATTCTAAAAATTATATGTAGACATATAAGAGCGCATAGGAAATGAAACACTATTCTTCAAATCAAATTAAAAAAGGTATATAGGGAAAGAACAAGAAAAGGGTATCTAGGGAAAGAAAAAATTAAACTTCAACTAAAAGGTATAATGCCATGTTTACGTTAGAACTTTTTGCAGGGTTAACCTATTTCAAGAGGATTAATTTGAAGTATAAATAATGAATATGACAATTTTTATCCAAAACCAATGGGCTTACCCATTTTTTTGTAAACGTGCTGTAAGGGTATATAGGTAATTCTTAAAATATAAAAACGAACAAAAAGTAATTCGGAATAGAAAATTAAAAAATATGTATCTAAAACTTGTAAAATCAATTCTAAACGGAACCAATCGATATATGCCTACATGAAATGAACAATTCAATGATTTCAATAATTTTGTATTTAAAAAAAAATACATTAATTTACAGTTTTTGAGTATATTTTCAGCCAGTGACAAAGAGACAGATTCAAAGAAAGTTACCCAGAAAGAGAGAGAAAAGAGTGTGTCTGTCTGCGTGTGCCAAAGATGCCAAGTCGTTTAAAAAGCAAGATGAAAAGACCACAAACAAATACCCACGCAATTCTTCATCACAATTCCCTTTTTTTTAGATAGAATGACAAAGGGACTCGGATTTATTACTTTCGTAATTCATAACTTGCTTTTTAATAGAATACACCATTGGATTTAATCTAAACCTTTTTCTCAAGATAATTTTATGTAGCTTTCCATAACACGTATTCGTAATGAAAAGAAAATTATCATCATTCTGCTAGGAATCTTAAATATTGGAATAAGAAAAATATGATTACATCCAGTCATCTATTTGGATCAACAATTTGAGAATAGGGGGTTTCTCGAATTCATATTGTAAAATTGAATATTAATTTTTTTTTTTTCATATTTATTCTGTGTTGAGGACTTCTATAAATTACACCAAGGCATATCTACTAGGCATTTTTATTGTGACTGCAGTTTGTACTGCTGTGTTCGCTTTGTGTGTTGGCTCTGCTTCTAACTCCAAGTTCAAAAGGAAGTCAATCTGCATTGTTTGGGTCCATATCAACACGAGAGTTAGATGAGTAGATTTTCCTGGGCAGGTCATCTGGGCACTACTGTCACTTCGAGCCCAATATGAATTGAGGCGGCAGCACCATCCAGATGTCAGTTGTGCTAAAACTACTCTGGTTTGTCGCGGTAGCTATCGTTCTTCAGCTGCAATGGGACGGGGATGAACTCCAAGTAGGGTAATTCATAATTGATAGGCCTGTTGATCTAGAGGTTCTCTCTTATATATTTGCTCCCCCTCTCTCTCTCTCTCTAGATGCTGAATGTCTTTTCTTACTTGCCTGGGTGGTGGTTGCCTATCGACCAGATTGTGATTGGTATAGTTGAGCTTATTACACCCAAACAAGTAGTCCATTGGCAGAATTTTATTAAGCTTCCGCATGCTTCATTCAATCGGTTGTTTAGTAGTGCAAAATAACTTACGTTAGGGTGTTTTATTTTTATCCCCTGCACCACATAGTGGTAAGGGTTTCAGGTCTTTGTGCATTTATTTGTAACATAGAGAGGGAAGCGAGATAGACCCCTAGTTGCTTTTGAGGATCTTCATAAAATCACTTTCTGAGTCGATTTATGCATGTTAGTCCGTCCATTTATTCTTGTGAACAAAATGCAGGTCGCATTTATTATCCGATTGAGATAAAATTTTCCAAACAATATTTGATTGGCCCAAGGACGAACCCTATTGAAAATGGTGATAATGGGATCAGATTTAGATATAGAGCCCATATATATCTTCAACCCATTCTGGGTTAATTGGGCACCAAATGGCTAATATAAGTCCAAATGAGCTGTATTTTGGTACATGCGATCTAATTCAGGCTAGAGGCAATTACATCGAATTTGGTGAAAATCGGTTCAATTATAGCTATAGCTTCCATATATATATTTCATCCGATTTGGGGTTTTAGGTCCCTCTCATGCGTAATATGCACTCCACAACAATGATCTTTGGCACCGGATACAATATACAGCTCAGAAATAAGTTCCTAAAATTTTGTCAAGATCGGTTCAGATTTCGATATAGCTCCCATACATATGTTTCATCCGATTTGTTGTTTAACTCCCTCATATTCGTAATATGCATTCAACAACAATGATCTTTGGTACCAGATATCTTATAGAGCTCGGAAATACCTCTGCCAAAATTTATCAAGATCGGTTCAGATTTGGATATAGCTCCCACATATACCTTCAACTGAGTTCGGGTTAATTGTACACCAAATGGCCAATATCTGTCAGAAAGTCCTGAATTTTGGTACATTCGACCGAATTCGGTCTAGAATCAAGTAAATCAAATTTGGTAAAAAATCGATTCAGATATAGCTATAGCTTCCATATATATGTTTCATCCGATTTGGGGTTTTAGGTTCCTCACAAGCGTAATATGCATTTGACAACAATGATATTTGGTACCAGATATCTTCTAAAGCTCGGAAATAACTTTGCCAAATTTTATCGAGATCGGTTCAGATTTGGATATAGCTCCCTTATATATCCTTAATCCGATTTCAGGTTTATTGTGCAAATAATGGCTAATATCAGGCCAAATAATATAGTGAATTTCGGGTAGTATGTTTCTATTTGGCCTAACTCGGCTCCGATATATATCTATTTAATATAATCCTTCTCCAAGTGATATCATCACTTTTTGGCAAACTATAACTGCTCTAAAGCCAAATGTTGACAGGTTTTGTGATCTACTTGAAATGAAATCTTTTGTTACGGTAGCTCTACTAAATATGCATAGTGGTATCATAAAATCGGCCCCGCCCGACTTTTGCCTTTTCCTTACTGTTTTTTATAGAAATGTTTAAAATTTGGATATCTCTCGAATATTGGAATTTCGTCATTGATTTTTTTGACATGACTTAATTCCCAAATAGTGGGGAGTATAAAAGTTCGCCTCGTCCGAACTTTACGTTTTAAATCATGTTTTTTTTTTGTACAAAACTCAATTTGTTCTTTTTAACAAAATTCATTGCTGCGACTGTAAATGAAATCATATAAATTTAAAAAAGAAAGCAAATTCCTGTTCTTTATAAGCTTTCAGTTTTTATTTATAGCAATTATATAAAACAATTTAGGTCCATGTTCTTTCAACATTATGTGTTTGTTTACATTCAACTGGTTCTTTCTTTTTTTGATAATCTTCATTGAAATTCTCTTGCTATAAATCGAAAAACTATTCCAAATATAACTTTATAAAAAATCACATTTCTCATTCTATATAACCTGACTCTTCTTCGCCTTGTTTGTGTGCGTGTGTGTGTGTGTTTTAAACCTCCCCCCAACAAACACTTGGATATTACAACAAAAATAAAACTCAACATAAAAATCAAAACTCTTTTTAAAAACGTATTCCTAAATTATGTAATTAATTTTAATATTTTCCGATAATTGTTAAAAAAAAAAAAAACATTCGTATTTAAAAAAAAATACCTTGATTTATGTAACCTATGAAAAACAACGCAACAATGGGTTTATTTCCTAAACCAAAATATTCTTCTCAACTTGAAAATATTCAATCAATCAATCACTCAAAACCCCCTTCAACCACACAAAATGAAGTCTTTGAAAGGATGCAACACCGGCACTCCGGCAACAGCAGGCATGACGGCAACAAAACCATTTACGAAGTTAAATATATTTGAGAACAATAATAATAATATATTTTTGCCGCCAACTATGGAAGCGGAATTACTACAAAAGGTCAGCTCTAACGAAAAAACAATGCATTTAGTCTTGAATGAGAGAAATTATAAAGAAAAACAGCAACACTCCTTTCCCCCTTTTTTTTGTTTTGGAAAGGTGTTGTTTCGATTCACAACAATCTGGGTAGTTCGATAAATGTCATTGATTACAACAAACGATAACTTTGCGTAACAACTATCATCACTAGTCAATGAGAGAAGGAGTTCATTCCCTCTCCCTCCCTACTTAATGCTTTGTAACGGTATTCTTTCTAAATTCCCTTGAGGAAAAAACGAGGCTTCTTATTTGTTTTTGTCTATTTTTTAAATTGTTAGAAAAAAAGAAACCATCTCTAAATCATTGTTTTCTCGTATTCTTGTCTTTAACAAAAAATATTAAAAGTTTTTAAAACAAATTTACAAAAATATATTTTAACAACAAGACGTTTGTGCTTAGCGTGTGTTTTGTCTCTCAAGAAATGTTAGTAACAATGTTTTCCTTTCTCTCTTTCCCCTCTCACAGCTTTTTAATGATTCCGAAATTTTGGGCATGGGTGCATATGGTCTACATTTACCCAAAGACACCACTAATGATCGTAATGGTAAGTCATTAGTTTATTTTTATTTTCTCTTCTCCTTTTTGTTGTTATTCTTGGTTTTGTACGAAATAATCACATGTTTTCTTTTCTCCATTTTGACAGGTTCTGAATTAATGGCCTACCAACCAATGTATGATCTGTCAGATATCATCAATGAACAAAGTGATTTGGATGGTATGTAACAACAAAAAATTGTTGACTTTTTTCATTTTGTTGTTGATCTTTTTTGTTTTTTGCATTTACATTTTCTTTATAATTCTGTTTTTAGTTAATTTTTGAAATATACAAACTAACTTAAGAAGAAAGAGGGGGCACATTCACATTCTCTAGCAGAAGTCATACCAAATGGGACTTGAACATGTGAAAGCTAGGTTTTTTTTTTCAAAACATCAAAGGTGGATTTTTAAAAATGCTGTAAAAGTATAGTTTTGTTTAAAGACTCTTTGGGAATTAAAGAGAGAGAGCTTTCGGTTATAATTCCAATTTATTTGCCTAAAAAATGTGCGTATTTTACATATCAAAAGTGATATGTTTTTTTATGGTAAATATCAAATATACAAATTTATTTTGTTCAGAAACTCACATTGAAATTTGATGTAGAATATTTCTTCCTTTGGAACTTTCCCCAAAAACTTAAGTATTATGGGAGATTTTGCCCTGGAATGGAAACGTGTCAAAGTAGCAGTAAAAACATAAACACCTAATTTTCACTTGTAATTCTTATATTACAACATAATATTCTTAAAAACTATTAAACCTAGAGTTATGGTTTATTCTGAGATTCATAGTGAAATTTTGTGTAGAATATTTCATCCTTCGAAACTTTAGGTCTAAAACGATATTTTATGGTACTTTCTTGCATTAACTCGGAACAGACACCCAAGGGGTAATTTATACAAAAAAAGGATTTTTTTTAGGTAACATTGATTCAAATATTTTCTGGTTATATAATGGAAATAGATTTATTTTCGTTGGTAACTTATAGTAAATATTCACCCTTATCGCGTAACAATTTTTCCCAAAAAAAAATTTACCATTCCCAAAAATGCAATCATGTACTTTTTTCACAGAAGTTCACAAAAAGAAATTATAATTATATGCAGGTCGCATTTATTATCCAATTGAGATGAAATTTTCCAAACAATATTTGTTTGGCCCAAGGACAAACCCTATTGAAATTGGTAATAATCGGATCAGATTTAGATATAGCTCCCATATATATCTTCAAACGATTTCGGGATAATTGTGCACCAAATGGCCAATATAAGTCCAAATGATCTGAATTTTGGTACATCCCACCCAATTCAGGCTAGAAGCAAGTACATCGAATTCGAAGAAAATCGGTTCAGATAATTATTTTTGAATTTTATATCAAAAATTGGCCCAAAAAATAGCGGCCAAGAAACATTGGGGAAATTGGCCGTTCAGGATTGTATTTTCCAACTTCTATGTTGCTCCATAGGCTCATCAGCATCCGAAACATATATTTGAATCCTAAATTTTAAAATTAGTTTGTTACACTTGTTTATTTTTATAAAAACAAAGGCACTTCAAATTTGTCAACAATTTATGCAACATAGGTTACACAAGGTACGAAAAAGACCCATTCGCGTTGCCATCTTCACGAATGGTTTTTCTTTAATTATTCATGATTAGAGCAATTGTCTCTTGGGGAAAATATATTAAATTAAAAAGAAATCAAGAGATCAGAATTATGTATATTAAATTTTTATATTTTCTGGACTATTAGATAGAATCATAGAAAAGTATTCAAAGCCCTTATAGATCCTGGTTTTTTATTTAAGGAAATTATCATTTTCTTATACACATACCTATCACTGCTAATAATTTCTTGTTATTTCTAATCCAATTTTGTCCAACGTTTAGTATGAGTTGCTGCTAGAACTGGATGTGCAGCCCTATTGTTATTAAGTTTTATTATTGTATATAGACATTAAAAGTTATTTTATTATGATAAGATCAATACAAAACTAACACATGTTTTGACAAATGTACAGTTTACAAAAATATATAATATAAATTCCCCCTGTTTCTCTCTATGTTTCATCTTGTCTGTGCCACCCGCCCTCCCATATTTTCGAATTTTAGAGTAAAGCCAAAAATCACCATACCCCCACCCAACCAACCTAAACAAATATCTACATGATACCAATTATTTTCTTTCTCAGCCGATAACAATTCAATGATGAGGCCACAAATAACCCAAGAACCAGATAGTTCAACAAAACAGAATGATGTTCAGCCCAGTTCCGGTTTAAATACGCCGTATCATGAGTAAATCAACCGCCCCAGGCTTCACACAAAGAAAGTGATAAAATGGTTGATTGATTGATTGCTTTTTTTTTGTTACGATAATGGGGTCTTCAAAAAATATTAATCACAGCAGTAGGGCCCCCGTATCTATATTCATAAGATAATAATATTTTACATAATAATATATATGTAGTTCTAACAACAATTCATAACTAATATTTATGAATACTTTTGATGATTGTTTAACAAAATAGAAATGACAACATGTGGAAACAGGCATATTTTATAATAATAATAATAAGTTTTTACACCCTTAGATATATATACACATATACATATAAATAATATTCTATAAATATTAATACAAAAAATATAACTTTTTAAGTTTTGTTTTTTTTATGTATAAAAAAATATGTTTTTTAAATATAAGATTGTTTTACTGTATAAAAAACCACTAATTTTAGAAAGAAAAAAAAATTGAAATATTTTTTTTTTAGTTTTACATCACATTTTTAATAGACCAGACATTTCATTGAAGAAATTTGAAATATTTTTTTTTTTAGTTTTTGACCACATTTTCAGTCAAAATACGAAGGAATTTTAAATTATTTCAGCAGAAATTTTAAATATTATATTATATTGTGGTCAAAAACACCACATTTTCTGTTGATAGAGAATAATTTTTTAATCATTTTAGTTTTTGATTGGATTTTTTTCTGTAATTTTAAACCACAGAATAAATTTAAAATATATGTTTTTTTCATTCAGAATTTCATTATAAGTTGGCTCAGAAAATTTTTTTATGACTTTTTTGTTTAAAAAATATATTTTTATTCGATTTGAAATGTAATTTTAAATTATAAAAAACTAAATTATCTGAAGCATTTCGATTTTTTAATATTGATTTGAAGGAAATTTTTCGAAAATGTTAAAATAATAGTTCAGGGTTTGGGTTCTTGTTCTACGGAAATATGAAATGAAAAATCGTTTCTTTAGAAAATTGTTAATTTGACAACTCTTTCCTTTCTGAAAGTTTTCATTTCACATCTTCATAGAACAAGAGCTAAAAGTGGGAATACATAAAGTGCTTATCTGGCTGGCTCAAGTAATCGGCTGGCTTCTTCAGAAATGAAAAAAGGAACCTAGGGCCAAAATCGAACTAAGTCAACCTAAAACTCCTTTGTTCATCTACGAAAAAGCCGATGACTTAAACCAGCCAAATATGCGCTTTATGTATTTTCACCCTAAGCCCCAGATAATTGAAGTCAATTTTTTTTAATTTTAAAACCTATATGGCTATCAGAAGAGGATTTTGAACGTATATTTTTGGAAAAAATTTACTTTCAAATATTTTTTGTTTTTTTTTTTTTCATTTCTCATGCATTTTTAATACTGATTTGATTGACAACTAATTCCAGCACAATTTTTGAAAGGTTTTTATTTTAAATTTTGAATCACATTTTCTAATAAATCGTAATGTTAGAAAAGAGTTTTTAAATTTGTTATCTCTCTCTCTCTACCTCTCTCTTTTAAATGGATTATTACTTGAAAGAAATTGAATGTTGTTAAATTTTGAATCATTTCTTTACCCACAAATTTTAGTGGACCACACACCAAAAAGTGGGAAATTTTAAAGAAGACTATTCAAAATATAAACTTCCTGTGATTTTTCTTACTCCTCCCTATCGATCGACAGAAAAGATGGATGGAGTTTGCCCTTAAATAACGCTGTCATGCCAAATTCATTTAATTTTCATATCAGCCTCAGCCTTGTGAAAAAATTGGGCGCGGAGTAATTTTTTGATGCATAAAAGAAATTTATTTCAAAGCATCTCATGATAATGCCCAGTTTAGAGAAAAGATTTTTTTTAAATAAAACACTTCAAACTTGGCACCATTTTAAGCAACATAGGTTACACAAGGTACGGAAAAGGCCCATACGCGTTGTCATCTTCATATTTTTTTTTCTTAATTAGAATTGCAGGAATTGTGATTTGAGGAAAGCCCTATAAATTGAAAAAAAAAAAAATCAAAAGATCGGAATTCAAAACACCGGATATAGAATTTTTTTCTGGACTATTAAATAGAATCATGGAAAAGTATTCAAAGGCCTTTTATATCCCGGCGTTTCATTTAAGGAAATTTTAATTTTTATACACAAAGCAAAGATTTCTGCTCAAAGGTCTTCTAATTATCCCCTCCCCTTTCCCCCCCCTTTTAGTTCCCAACGCGCTTAGGGATTTTAAAATAAAAAAAAAAGTCTTCTAACCTAAAAAATTTATAGAAAATACTCAGAAAACCTTCTGGAGGTTTTGTGGTCAAAAAACTGTTTAGAACTATTCTAACACTGGCAGTACTTCTTAAGTTGCCCTAAAGACAGAAATGCCTTTTAGAATATTCTACAAAACGAGGACCTTCAAGATATCTTCTATGTAAGAGTACAGGTCATCTGCTGGTACTTCCTGAAATTTTATTTGATTTTTTATTCGTAGAAACCCACATAGAAAAATAAATCCTCTTCATTTTTTTAAAATTAGTTTCTTCTCGTAATTTTTCTATGGCCACCTCTTACTCCAAATTATATTTCTATCCCCTTTAGAGCAAAACAGTGGGGACATTTTTTAGATTTACCGATAATAGTCGAGGAACTTGAAAATTGAACATCACATTTTGTTGACCTTTGGTTGCCAACAATATTAACGGCATACTCCCAAAGAATGAAGGTATTCAAGACACTTTTTGTTACAAATATAAACATCGTAATACCGAAAACCACACACAAGTAAAGTGTGAAATTTTTTGATGAGAACAATTTGAAAATACCAATAAAGCTGGCCATAGACGAACGATTTGTTGGTGTGATTTGCAAATTTATTGCTGCGATTTATTGCATATCGTTTCTCCACACACGTTCGAACAAATCATAATTCGGCCGACGTTGAAGAGTAAGCATATGCTACGAAGCGGATGATGTTCATTTTGTGTTTGAACTTCGGTTTGTGCTTCTGTTTGAATTTTGTGGCAGAAAATTTTTTATTTAACAATTGGTTTTTTCTGTTGATAGGAAACTTAAAAAACATGTGCGACGATGCTGTGGCTGATGCAGCTGCGCTTTTAATTATATATACATGTTTCGACATGGAAAATAAAAAACAAGAAAAGAAAAAAATCGAAAAAAAAAGAAAAAGAAAATGGAGTGAAGAGTGGCTGCTCGAAAGAAAAAAGCATTCCCATGTAGCAACGCTCAAAAATATGGAAATGCTTACTCCAAGGGATTATAAAAATTTTCCATTTTGTTACGAGTTTTTCCCATGATTTTTGTTTTTCTAATTTGTCTTTATATTTTTCACTTTTTGTTTGCCAAATGGCATTTTCATTTTTTAACACATCAAAAAATTCTATCATAAAGTCCTTTCGTTACAATGGTTGAAGAGCAACTGAAATGGCAAAATGGCTTAAAATTTGCGCAGTAGCCCACACACGTATGATTTGTTTGCCAACAAATTGCAAGTTTTTGAAAATTCTCAAAAACTTGCAATTTGTTCGCAAACTACCCCACAGACGTAAAAACGCGACCACAAACCCAACAAATTGCTCGAATTTATCGTTCGTCTATGGCCAGCTTAATAGACGAGGAACTTGAATGTGAAACATGAAATGTATTTGACTTTTGGTTGTCGACAATATAAACGACATATTTCCAAAGAATGAACTTTTAAATATTTTTTGGTTAAATATATGAAAATCGTATTACTAATAAACCTCCTTATTAGTGCACATGCACACACACACACGTGTAAACTGTGTAATATTTTTGGTTTCCTTAATTATAATCACTATTTTTGTCGCCAGTTTTAGCATGTTTACACATATGAAATTCTGTGGATTTCAATGGTCAATTCCACTGCGCCAAGTCTAAAATCCAGTGAATTTTATTTGACATGCGTTTTGGAATTGACACTTAAAATCCAATGGATATCTTTGTACATGTAGACATGCTTTGTTATGCCTTTTTTAAAACGAAAACACATTGTTGTGAACAAAACAGATATCCCATATGCCTATTATACAAATATAAATATTTTTTATACACACATACAATTTACATTTAATTTTCTTAACTATTAATTGTTTTAGTTTCGTATATATTATTTTAACTTTCAAAATAAATATTATCACAAAAATTGTTTATCTATTTTATTTCGAAATAAATAGGAAAGAGTTAACTCTGCTCTCGGCGTGGAAATAAAATACAGTTACCACTTGTAGCTGAAAACAGTCGGCCCATATATATGTGCAAGTCGCCATCGCCGTCGCTTTGATTCAGTTTAAAAAGAAAGTTGGCAACACTCCCTTGTTGTTGACAAAGAAGAGAAAAATTGTTTATATTTTGAATCTTAATTTCTTCTCTTTCGAAAACTATAGTGGAAATGAATATAATAAAAGCTTTACATCTCTTAAATTCAATTAAGGATGAAGAGGAAAAGGTATTAGGTTGGAAATACATAAAGCGAATATTTGACTGGCTTAAGTCATCGGCTGGCTTCTTCTTAGATGAACAAAGGAGTTTTAGGTTGACTTAGTTCGATTTCGGCCCTATGTTCCTTTGTTTATTTCCGAAGAAGCCAGCCGATGACTTAAGTCAGCCAGATAAGCGCTTTATGTATTCCCACCTTTAGTAGTGCCGCGACGAGTGCTAAGGCAGCAAATAAACATATTTACATTAACCGACTCCATGTAAGTACATATGTACTCATTGTGTTCTATTTTTAAGTTTTATAAATTACTTCAGAATTAATAGGGACTGTTTTCGGCATGTGCCAAAGAAATTTCACCAAAGCTGCAAAGTGGACGCCGGTCATTGGCTCTTAGGGTAGAAATACATAAAGCGAATATTTGGCTGGCTTCTTCGTAGATGAACAAAGGAGTTTTAGGTTGACCTAGTTCGATTTTGGCCCTAGGCTCTTTGTTAATTTCCTAAGAAGCCAGCCGATGACTTAAGCCAACCAGATAAGCGCTTTATGTATTCCCATCCTTAAGCTTTGATCTGTTTCACCCTTTAGACATATGGTGCATCAGTTGCGGCTGATTGTCACCTAAAGCCATATTTACACCGAGGATGTTTTTATAAAAAAGTAGGTGTATCTGATTACCCTATAATTTGTAAAGATTGTTGCAAATTGTTACTAGAACTCGTCTTTTGACGCAAAAAAAGAGCGCTTCAAGAGAGACATTTTGACAGTTCATTCACTTGGAATTTGCAAATTCTTGCCGAAGAAATTTCTTTTGCAATCACTTGCAGCTCTTCTTCTTATTTCGATGATTTATATTTCAGCAGAAATTTTAAAACATCTTTGTTTTAGAAAAGAGACACATTTGACAGTTCTTTAATTGAGAGTTTGGAAACTTATGTCGGAAAAATTTCTTTAAGTAATCACTTGTAACGCTCCTTCTTCCGGTAATTTACGTCTCATCAGGCAACTTAAATTTTTTGCTTCATATCTTTTTATGGCGAAGAAATTGTTTTGTTTTAACAAAACAGCTGATTACTTGCAAATTTCTTCAGGGATTCCGTTAGTTTACCTTATGGCACGTTTATATACAACATCTCATCCGGATAAACCCACATTACCATGATTTATTGCTTGCAAACAAAATAGATCTTCTCATGGCTCGATTTATCTTAAATCAGGGGTGAATCGGACCAGTGGGTTAATATTTAAAAGTATAAATGCGCTTTTACTCTCTCCCTCTCCTACCTATCACTTTTAATATTTATTTCTTTGATTATATGTCAAATAAATGAAGAATCATCATAAAATGCGTAATTTAAGTGTCGGTGTGAAGGGTGTGTAATTGATAAGTGAAATCCACTAAATATCGCATAAGTATAAACATTTCTTAAGCCCGCAGTGTAAAGTATACCGTTTCATTTGATTTCATTTTTTTTCTTCAATAACATGTTTACATAAAATATTTTAGACAATATAAATCCTCGGGATTTTTTAATCCCACAAAATGTAAACTTACTATAACGTGAAATATATTTGGTAGAAATAGAAAAAAATCAATGGAAAATGTCTAATTTATAATGAAAAATAATAAACAAAGAATCTTAAAGCACGTTTACATACAATATATATAATGCATTTCTGATGTGTATTCCATTTTTAATGTCAAATTTGCAGACTAAATGATTTTATTTACGTATAAGCAATTGCATTAATCATGGTAGAAGAATACAGGTAGATGCATTAACGCTTGGGAATATTGATATGTCAAAATTTTTAAAATGTTTTGTCAAAAACAAGTAGGTTTTTATATACTTTCTTATGCAACGCAAACACGATGTTGTTATATGTATTTTCCATTTTTTTTTACAAATTTCAATAGTTTTTCATTCAACATTTTCAATTCCAAAATCTGTTTGACAGTTCATTCCCAGTAGCTGTGTCGATGCGACTACCTGTATTTTTCTATCATGGCATTAGAAGTTTAAATCCACTGTTTTTATTGTATGTAAACATGCCTTGAGATTTTTAGATCTAATAATTTTTAAATCTAAAATAAATTTACATATGCCTTCAAGAAACGCCTCACAAATGTTCTGATAATTCGACAGAAATTTTAGTTTAGTACTCCTTTGGAAATATTGTAAAACATGTTTAACCAAAGCTTTGTAATCATTTAAATATTGCCACATTCTTTTGTTGTATATAATTTTAGGAGAACCATATTTTCTGTTTTTAAATTCCAAATTTAATTATATTTAAGTTATCTCGAACACATTTTCATAAAATGAAATTTGTATTTCCTAGTTGTACTGTTCGGAACCAATAACAAATTATAAACCCACAAGACTGTAAAAAGAATATGAAAAAATGTTTTTCTCTTTTGTTTCTTTAGTATATAACAAATATATATATGTATTTACAAACATAGAATATGATCACATAAAATATGATGTTTAATACATTTAAGTTAAAAACTCAAAACATTACATATTGTTTTAAGTAACCCTATTTACCATGGTAGAAGAATACAGGTGGATGCATCAACTTTGATATGTCAAAAAATGTTAAATGTTTTTTTCATAACTTTTAATCGGAAGTTGTTATGATTTGATTTTTTATTCACTACACTATAGATATTTGAATAATTTTTTATTCAAAAAATGGGTTTGACAGTTCATTGTCCCAGCAGCTGTGTCGATGCGACTGCCTGTTTTCTTCTACCATGCTATTTTCATATGAATACATTATTTAGTTTTACATACACATAACCTCAAAATCATGGTAGACGAATATAGGTAGACGCATCGAAACAGCTGCTGGGTCAATGAACTGTCAAACCAATTTTGGAATTGAAAATGTTGAATGAAAAATTATTTAAATTTGTAAAAATTGTTAAAAATCTCGAATTATAATAACCTCCGAATGACGTCGTATAAGAAAACATTTAAAAATCTACTCATATTTCAAAAAACATTAAAATTTTTTTGACCTGACAATGCTCCCAAGCGTTGATGCATCTACCTGTATTCTTCTGCCATGCTCAAAATCGTTTGCTGTCACTTCACATCACAGAATACATCACATTTTAAAGCATGTTTACACATATAAATCGACTTAAATCCACTAGATTTCAGATTACTACACAGTAGAAATTAAAGAAATCCCATGACTTTCCTATATGTGAACATGCTATAAGAACATATTCACATTTACGTACTTTATCAGGAAAGGCATGTATAGACATGTAATAAATCCAGTGGATTGTAAATGACAATTGCATTTCGAATGCCGCTTTCCTTTAATATGTCATATGTCAAATGTTAAATCCACTGGATATAATTTCAGTGTTAATAATGTGTTACATCATTTTCAAAGTCCAGTGGATTTTAACTGTCAATTCCATTGAGTATGTGTCAAATGAAATCCACTGGATTTATGATATGACGTATATGCAAGTGAAGCGACTATTGATATACAGTTTCGTATATGTAAACATGACTTAATTTAAAAAATATATATATTTTATGTTTGTCTTTGACAGCTAATTTTAAGATCTGATTTTGACATTAATAACATTTCAGCAATAATATTTTCTTAAAATAAGTTATTTAATCAAAAATTAAAACAATTTAGAAATACATATTTTGACTGATGAAAAAAAAACAAAATGTGACGATAACAGCTGATCGATCAGAATGTAATAAAATTTTAAAAAATAAATTTTTTGTAAAAATTATGTATTGTGTAAATAAACTATAAAATCAAGTTAATGTTTACCACCTAGAATTACACAAAATTTAAATCATCATCATCGTTTTTTATCTTTTTATTGTACCGCGTTGTTATTAATTTGACGTATAAAACGTATAAAAACATATGTCAAATATATATTATTTATTACGTTTAAGGTCTGAAATGTAAACGTAGCCTAACAATATGGTTTACACCGTTCTTTAAAACATTGAAATGAATAAAATACGATGCAAAGTTCTTGTGGCCGATATAAATGTCACCCAAACTAATCCACTCAATCAATGACTTATAAACAAATGAAATTATACACGTTTTTAATTGAAAAACAAAAAAAACTTTAATCAATAACAAAAGCGAAATTAAAACGATCAATAAAAACACTTTTTTATAGTAGGTAATATTACAACTACATTTATATTAATTACTTTTAAATATACATATATACGATATACGAAATTAAAAAACCAAGAAATAAATACGATATTTATTACTTATAAAAGTAAAATTGTGTGTTTTTTAATTTTTATCTGGCGTTTACAAAGTTAAGGCAACAAGGCAAAACTCAAAAATTCAGCCGAGCCTGGCTGTGGGATTTGAACCGCGGACCTCTGTGTGCAGCCAACTAGAAGTTGCCGTCTCTACGTTCAGAGCCATTAACCCGTCTTCCTAAACAGCACTAAAACAAGTGTATGCATTGGAAGCAATGTAGTTGTTGTGGACAAAAAATTTATCACTACAAAAAACAAAACGTTGCTGTGAAAAAAGATCTGCCAATAGAACTTGAGTCGAACCTGGAGAGTTTCTAGTGTATAATTCGCATATGCTAATTTGCAATAAGTTCGAAATATATACTACTTTCCAGAGAACGGCCCTTGTAAGCCATCATCCACATCAAATATGCCTGATGAGCCGCTTAACCAACGGCGAAACGCGTCGCATAGTGGTGAGTGTGTGATAGTGTCTATCTGGCTTTCCTTTTCACTGCAAATTTCAGATCATTAAGCTCGTCTCGAAAGAGAAAACAAACACTTAAAATCATAAAACATATGATATTCGCCTTAACAAGGCGAAACTTAAATAATTTTTATTTAACATTTTCAATCCCAAAATTGGTTTGACTGTTCATTGTTCCAGTAGCTGTGTCGATGCGTGTACCTATATTCATGTACCATGGTGCCAACCTTGCTTTCCAAAATACTCCAGACACAATAGTCCAACGGATTGGTATCCGGAGGTTTTGGTGGCCATTGTGAATCGAAGCGAGGTGTAGCGTGCTGAGTTCTGTTGAAATGTCCAAGGTCATCGGCCAAAATGTTTGCGTACCTAAGGCTTTAATACACCCTCCAGAATATTTTCGCGATAATATTCGTCATTTATTCTGATGCCACGGTCGATTAATAAGAGCGGAGAGCGACCATCGGCTGTTATGGCGGCCTACACCATCACTATGGCCGGCGCTTTAGATCTGCTGGTCAACCACAGGTGCACATATTCAGGTGACCTCTTTGGCAAGTAAACACGATCATTTTGTTTGTTTACAAACTGCTGAACATCGAATGTTTTCTCATCGGAGAAAACCAAATTCGGCGGTTCACCACTTTCGAACAGTTGCGAAGCAACTCTTTAGCTCTTTTGAGTCTATTTTCTTTCTGTTGCGGTGTAAGTTCTTGCACTTTTGGGAATTTCAATGGCTTTACCCCGAGCTCATTTTTCTATATTTGCCGAATGGAATATTGCGATATGTTCAGCGCTCACGAGCCATTTTCCGGCCACTGCGACGAGGGTTTCGATCAAGTCGCTTCTTTACTTTTCGAACCATTTCTGCTGATGTTGCTGATTTCTTCCGTCCACTTCCTTGACGTAGGGCTACGCTACCAGTATCACGGTAACGAGCGATGGTACGAGACAAAAAAGATTTATTCACATTTAAATGCTGGAGTACTCTAACGATAGCCACTGGTGGTTTTCCAGCCAAATTTAAAGAAATCACACTATCAAGCTTGAATTCCATCAGGAATAATTTTTTTTTCAGGAAAATTCTCACCAAAATGCAAGATAGAAGAAAACAGTCAAAATTTTTTAAATGTCTTTTCGAATATAAGTAGATTTTTATATGTTTTCGCATACGACGTCATTCGGATGTTATTATAATACGCGTTTTCATTCAATTTTTACAAATTTTAATAATGTTTCATTCAACATTTCCAATTATAAAATTGGTTTGACAGTTCATTGTCCCAGCATGCCAAAATGCTTTTGTACACTTGTAAACAATATAATGAGCTGTCTCTGGAATAATTTTAACAGCTGTCGAACGAGTGGCTTAGAAATGACAGCAGTCTGATGTTGGTTGCAGTGTTTTCATATCACCCCGTATGTAAACAAACATGAGCTGACCGGCATTTTTATATTCTCCCAAGGGTTTACTAAAAACACACAAGATTTAAACCCTGGATCTAATAAACCCAGCGGGTAATTTTCACATAAAGATTTTTTTGTAGCGATTAACTTTTTCCCCACAGAACTACATTGCTTCTAATGCACACACCCGATATTGCGCTGCTGTAGGAATACTGCTTGTTGACTTTGAATGGTCTCTTCTTGTTTACGTTTCGATAGTTGATTTAACAATGCAATGTAAACTTTGTAGTATCGACGATTACATTATATTAGAACGCCATCTATTGGAGAGTAGTAATAACGGTTATGTACAGTGAGAGCCATTGGAAAAAGAATACAAAAAAGGCTTTAAGCAAAGAAATGGCAAACTCCTAACGATGTAAAAATCACACATCAAAATTTGGAACTATTTTTAAGAAAATAAAATTTATTAATGTAAATTAATTTATCCGTTTGTTTTTGTACACTTAAACTATGGCTATAATTATCGGCAATTGTGTTTCTTACATATTTGTATAGGTAAGGTGTGTGTGTGTTAATCTTAATGTGTAATCAATAAATATAAATTATGAAAGTAATTAATTACTGGTATGTCCATAGTGCTGTTGTTTTAAAAAAGCAACATAATTCTGTTTCACATGAAACAAACAAACAAAAATTGTTACATGTTTCAGCTTGAATTATTATACAAAAAGTATACCTACTTGCTACAAGTAAAATGAATGCTGCTACATTACAAAAAAAAACTGGGGAATCCTTAAGTTAGGTCGTTACAATTAGTGGGAAAATACTGTTTTAAAATTGTGTTGTAAAACAAAATTCGATGGCATAGTTTTACGACTGGTCAACGTAATGGGCATCTTTGAGAATTTTGGAGAATTCAAATTTAACCCTTTCCCTCTCCGAACGTGACATGGCACGAAGACAATCTGCCAGCGAAAGGCAATACATGTCAATGGGATCATTTATGGATTGGGATGGTCCAGGTCCGGGTCTACGTTTGGCCACATTATATACCAATTCATCTGGTCTGGTTGAGGATGGCCGTCGTTTCTTTAGCGCCAACGAGGAGTTGGGGCCCGACGAACTCGTCGTCGTAGATGATGACAGTGGTTGTATGGTAACTTCAGATAGCGATGCCGTACCTCCGCCATTGCATAATTTTGTAATTTTAATTTTTCCATTACTATTCTCATCGTTCATGGGTGTCAGCAGCGGCGATGAACCATGTGAATCTGGTGTTCCTCTTTTTACAGCATTCGGACTTCGTCTTTCGTGTACTGGCATATCAGGGGTTATCGTCATTTTAAAATCATCATTATTACTATGTGTAGTTGTTGTTGGACTATTGCGTATGTTATTTTTGGAATCTTCGGCGTTATCTGGCCGAGCATAGGGATCCTCGGGATCGGTAATATCGTGCATGGGTGCCAAGAAAGCCGACACATCCGGCATATATTCATGATTGCCATCATCGTCGTCACTTTGATCCAATTCAATTACTTCGTATGTACTCGAAACCGTTGTCGACAGATTATCCGGGTACATATAGCTGTTGGAGTCCGTGTCACTGCAAAAGAAAAAACCAATTAAAATACGAGCTCAAGTTCAATTAAAATAACGTTATTTAAATTTGAGTAAAAAATGTGAAAAAAAAACAAAAATTCAGGCTAGATTTTAAAAGGGCCAACTCTAATAGCCCCTTAGAGGTATCTTGATGGTTAGAATATGTCTTCCCCCCACTAAGAACGGAACATTTGAAACAATTGGGAACTATGTCTTAGTTTTCAATTCAACGCTTTTCTGGAAGAGAAACTAAAACTACATTTGAATTACTTTTTGCCTTGCTTTAGTACTTACGGCGTAATTTTATATTCCGTTGATGCATTCGCAGCATTTTGGCCATCTCTACGAAATGCTGTATATTTCAAAAAAGACAAATCTTCGGTAAATCTTCTCTTGCGTATGTTTGTATTGAACGTTCCTGTTTCCAAACACTTTTGTTCCTGCAGATAATTGTAACGTATGTTCTTCCATTTTGTCTGTAGAAAGCGGGCTAAAAGGAAATAGAAAACAAAAGATTAGAAACAAAAACAAACCACCAAAATTCAATCCACAATATCTGGGTGGACTAAACACAGTAGAGACTGGTCGTTTCTTCAACTCCAATAGACACGCACACGCACACACACACACAACACAGCCAAACAAATCGAATGCACAAAATCCCAAATGGGTTGTGTTGTGCAAGTAGCAAACCACCCTCTTCTTATATAGAGAAAGAATAGAATGTGAACACAAAAAATAGAATAGAAGACACAACACCGATGCGAAAAAAGCTTCATTCTTACTTACATGGTGCTCCCAATTCCTTGGCTATGCTATCCCATATTGCCATACGGACAGGAGTTCGACGATAATGCGGATGCATAACATCATAGATTGCAGGATTTGAACGTACCAATTGGATTAAACGATCATCTAGAAGAATAAGTCATTGAAGACACACAGACGAAAAAAAAGAAGCCAAGTTAGTTTGCAATCTTTTCCCCTTCCCTCCCTTTCTTTTTTGGTTTCTCGCCAAGAAAAGGGAGTTATAATTGTCTTGCTCCAATATCTTACTCGAAATCTTACCAAATTCGGGCCCGTTTTCGTCATGCCGTGCCATTATTAAACGTTTGCTTTTTCACAATTTATATTTATTTCCAAAATACAAATGAAAAGGATATTTTCTCTGCGTTATTGATTGATCCTTTCAAAGAATGCTTCCTTCTTCCAACCACTAAAGGCTCACTTGCCTGCTTCTTCTTCTTCTTTAAAAATCTTGTTCCTTTTCGATTTTTGCGCAAGTCCGATAACCGATAGATTGTTTACAGTCATCATAAAATAACTGTACAGTACATTATACATAGAGAGTGAGAGACACTTTCAAACTTTAATGATGTGTTCACATGGGAATTAAAATTCTTTTTTTCATATTATCTTTTAGAATAAAACCAATATGACAACAGAAATGTATCTTAAGACAAGAAAATATAAACTCAACGTATTTTAATCCCTTCAATAAAAAAATTAATAGAAATAGCAATGATAATTGAAACTTTTCTTTCAAAATTGATGAATAATCACAATATATTGGCATCGAATGCATCTTCAGTGTCATGGTAGAAGAATATAGGTTGATGCATCAATGCTTGCGAACATTGATATGTCAAAAAATTTAATATGTTTTCTTATACGACGCAATTCGGAGCTTGTTATAGTATGCATTCTTCAACAATTTTTTTCAATTTTTTCATTCAAAGTTTTAAATTCTAAAATCGGTTTGACAGTTGATTGTTCCAGAAGCTGTCTTGATGCAGTGTATAATAACCCAACTATCTGTATTCTTCTACCATGCTCAGTGTATAATAAAAGCATGTTTACGTTAGAAGTTTTTTCGGGGTTAACCTTCTTTATCAAGATTTATTTGAGGTATATTCAAAGGAATTGACAATTTAAACCGACTGGAGTTTCCAAATCCTCTACAGCGTAAACGTACTATAAGCCAATTTAAAATGTGAACCATCAAAACATATGCTATGGTCCAGAACAGTATTAGGGCCAAAAATGTTAAAAAGTGGCACACAAAGCCACACAGAAAAGTCACTTTTTAATACGAAGTTGCACATTTTTTTGTTCATAATAGACAAAAAACAATTCCAGGAAAAGTGTTAAACAATATTATGATAATTAGTTTGTTTTTTAAACATGGCAATTATCACAATAAATTCCTTTTCTAAACCAAATATGACCTTTTCTGAAGTACTCCACCTTGCTATTTTTTTAAACAAATGGCAAGTGGCATATTTTACAAAAATAAAAAATATACTATTATCTATTATATTCAAAGTTCCTAGGTGCGTAAAAAACTTATACGTTCCATATCTAAGGAAGACGTATCTAATTTATCTTGTCTTGATTTTATGCACATTAAATAGATGTTTTAAGCCCGTAATTTAAAAAAAAAACATTCCCGGAACTAAATATAGTATATGTCATTTTATCAAAAGTTTTGTTGTACAACAACAATTGCTGTTACCTGTATTATTCTACCATGAGCCGGGCCGAACTTTGAATACCTTCCACCATTTAAAAATTTTCAAAAAAATAAAATGCGTTCAAAATTCAGTTAAAATCTGAAAAAATACTGAATACAGACGTTATATTGGGGTCAAAACGAAGACATGGACCTGTATAGGCATACAATATTCACCTACGAAACTTTAAAAAAAGTCCGGTGAATAGGTATCGTTATAGCGGGCTATACGAAGACCTTTAGCTGTATAGACAAATTTCTGTCACAGGCTGTTGTACCTATTAAGAACTTCAAATACGAAATTTCAAACAATTTCGGTGAGTATTGTACCTAAAATCGTCAAAATACCGAATATAGGGAGTTACTGATATATGGGGCCTATACGAAGACCTGGACCTGCATAGATAATTTTCTGTCACAGGCTGTAGTACCAATTAGAAACTCCAAATACGAATATTGTACCTAAAATCGCCAAAATACCAAATGTTGGGAGGTACTGATATATGGGGCCTATGCGAAGACCTGGACATGCAAGAACAATTTTCTGTCATAGACTGTAGTTCCTATTACGAACTCTAAATGCGAAATTTGAAACAACTGCGATGAATAATGTCGCTAAAATCATCAAAATACCGAATTTTGGGAGGTCCCGTTGTATATGGGCTTAACAATATCGTAGACCTATATATACATTTATTTGTAGTCAATTCCATTGAAAACTGTAGCTAAAATCATCAAAATACCGAATATCGAGAGGTACCGTTATATGGGGGATATACGATAGTTTGCCATGAAAAAATTCAGATTTAAGACAATTTGCATGTGTAAACCTCATTTTACTTTTTAAAACCAAATGGGCAAAGTCGATCTACATATCCCTAAATAGTATTTTGCCATGTTCCAGTAAGATTAGCGTTGCCTTTGAAGTTCACGAATTTTATTGCAATTAAAGGTTTATTGCTAAAGCTGCAAAAGAAAATCACTTTTTCATAACAGGGCGATAGACGGTCCTATTTTCTCTTGGAGTGGATCTTCAGCCAAAATCATAAAACATATAATTACCAAGCCTTTTTTCTGTAAATAAAACTCAAACACAATAATTTTTTTTTTATAAATTTTATAATTTTTATTTTTCCATTATTTCTTTTAAAAACTAAGATTTTTTTGTATTATTTTTCACATATCATTATTATTATTATATAATTAAAATTAATATTTATGTTTATAATTTATAATTAAATGATATTATTCAAGTATCATTTATTATTATTATAATATTTTTGTTGTGTGGTTTGTTGGTTGGTTGTTGTTGTTCTCGGTTTCGAATATATGGATGATTTATAGTAGTTCGTTAAAAAAAAGACATATTGAAAAATGAAAAAAAAAAAAACGGAAAATGTTTTCTTTTTATAAATAAATTAAATTATAGAATGAAATATCTCCAATTGTTAATATAGTAAACTATTAATACAAATAAAAAATAGAGGAATATATTTTTTTAAGAAATAAATGTAATGTATTATTTATCTTTTGTTTTGTTTTTTTGCAAAGTAAATTAAATACTTCATACAGTAGTGGGAGAGAAAAAAATGAAAATTATGTGAAGGAAATAATGTTTGAAAAAAAAAAACTCAAAGAGGAAGTTTTGAGAATTTGCTCAGTAAAAATCTAAAGAATCTTTTTTTATAATTTTATTTAGTTATTAGTTCAAAGCTAAGGCAATTACAATATTGCAATGGAAAAGGAACTCTTAAAGGAAAAAAACTTATAAAAAACGAATTTAAAGAAATTTAAAAGAAATAGTTTCTTTTATTGCAACCAAAAATGAAGCAGCATGAAACAATATCTTTGTCATGTTTGAGATTTAAAAAAAATGTTACAATTTATACTTCCTCTAAATGTAAAAACTTAGATCAAATCCTAGAAAGTGGTGGAGGGGAGCATGGAAATTATTGTACATTACATACTTTATGGGGATTGAGTGAGTGAGTGGAGGAGCAATTTAGGATTCTTTATGAAAATAATATTTCTGCGTTAAAAAGTCTCGTTTGTGTGTGTGTATAGCTGTACTTGTCCTGTTTTTTTTTTAATCAATATTGTTTGGGGTTTAGGTATACTTAGCACAAACATTGTTTATAATATTCCAAAATGGATACGAAATTAAAAAAGAAGTGTGTGTATGTGTGTGTGTTTTGTGTTAAAGAGTTTTCCATGTATGTATGTATGATTTATAACTTAGCTTTACCACCATCAACCCTCCCGCTTTATAGAACTGGGTGTCTCTGCCAGACCTTTCACTTTTAGGCGATCAGCTGTCTTTAGGAATGCAGGTAATTGCTCTTGTGATACATTCACCTCACCGGCATACATGAATTCTAGTATAGCTTGCAGATGTATATAGGAAACGTCCTTTAAGATTATGATGGGATGCTTGGAGGGATTTTCCTGCAAATAAATAATAGAAAACATTTTTAATAGTTTTGTGAGGTATGGAGACTTTAGACACTTACCTCTAACAAGGCTTTGAAATACGGACTACAAGCTGATAGTACCATTTTGTGTGCTTTACATGTCTGTCCCTCACAAGCAAGTGTTACCTGGAAAAAAGTAAATAAATTAGGATAAAAAATAATTTAAAAAAAAATCAAAAAAAAAAATACATTTTGCTATAATCATTTAAACCACGATACTCTTCAAAAGGTATATCCTCATTGTTCAACATCATACAGGCCATTTTTAAAAAGAACTTATTGGTCCTCTTGCAAGACACTTTTAAGGAAGATTCTAATTGTATTTAGATCTTCCTCTGGAAAACAACTATTTTGGAAAAAACTTATACTTAGGCCTTCTTTCGAAAGGTCTAGTAAGGAGTATATAAAGGAAGTGCTTCTGGTCTTCCATTCTCGGAAAAAAATAACAGGGCGAAATCGTCGAAAAAAATACATCCAATTCGGTGCACAACAACCGTGAAATCGGTTGAAGGTCAATATGAATTATATATTCCATATTTGGCAGAGGTATTTCAGAGCTGTATCTGAGATCTGGTACCAAATATCATTGTTGTAGGGTGCATATTACGATAGTGTGGGACTTAAACACCAAATCGGATGAATATACGATAGTTTGCCATGAAAAAAGTTCAGATTTAAGACAATTTACATGTGTTAACCTCATTTTACTTTTAAAAATCAAATGGACCAAAGTCGACCTACATATCCCTAAATAGTATTTTGCCATGTTCATACTGGTAAGATTAGCGTTGCCTTTGAAGTCAACGAATTGTATTGCAATTAAAGGTTTATTGCTAATGCCAAAGAAAGTAGCTGCAAAAGAAAATCACTTTTTCATAACAGGGCGATAGATGGTCCTATTTTCTCTTGGAGTGGATCTTCAGCCAAAATCTTGAAACATATAATTACCAAGGCTTTTTTCTATAAATAAAACTCAAACACAATAATTTATGGGAGCTGTAGCTATATCTGAAACGATTCTCAATAAATTTAAGGCACTTGTTTCGAGGCTACTTCCATTCGGGCTGATATTAATAATTTGTTGAAAAATAAACGTGGAATCGGAAAAAGATATATAACCATATCTGAACCGAACTCGATAAAATTTTCCAGAGGTATTTCTGAGCTGTATGCGATATCTGGTACCAAATATCACTGTCTTGGAGTGCATATTACGAATATGAGGGACTTAAACAACAAATCGGGTGAAACATATACAGGCTGAGATGAAAAAACTGCAACCAACTTCAGAATGCTGTCATATCTAAGCCACTCGTCCGACAGCTGTTAAAATTATTCCAGTGACAGCTCGTTATATTGTTTACAAGCATACATAAGTATTTTGGTGAGAATTTTCCAGAAAAAAAATTATTCCGTGATGGAATTCAAGCGTGATAGTGTGATTTCTTTTTATTTGCCTGGAAAACCACAAGTGGCTATCGTTAGAGCACTCCAGCATTTTAATGTGAATAAATCTTTTGTGTCTCGTACCATTGCTCGTTATCGTGATACTAGTAGCGAAGCCCGACGTCAAGGAAGTGGACGGAAGAAAACAGCAACATCAGCAAAAATGCCTCGAAAAGTAAAGAAACGACTTGATCGAAACCCGCACCGCATTGGCCGAAAAATGGCTTGTGAGCTAAACATATCGTAATATTTCATTCGGCAAATATTGAAAAATGAGCTCGGGGTAGAGCCATTTCAATTCCAAAAAGTGCAAGAACTTACGCCGCAACAGAAAGAAAATAGACTCAAAAGAGCTAAGGAGTTGCTTCGCTTGGCTTGGCAAGTGGTGAACTGCCGAATTTGATTTTCTCCGAAGAGAAAACATTTCTTGTCCAGCAGTTTGCAAACAGACAAAATGACCGTGTTTACTTGCCAAAGAGGTTAGCTGAAAATGTGCACCTTCGGTTGGCCACCAGAACTCAAGCGCCGGCCATGATGATGGTGTGGACCGTCATAACAGCCAATGTTCGCTCTCCACTCTCCGCTCGTATAAATCGACCGTGGCATCAGAATAAATGCCGAATATTATCGCGAAAATATTCTGGAAGGTGTATTCAAGGCAAACATTTTGGCCACAGACCTTGGACATTCCAATAGGTCTCAGCACTATCGCATCCAGCACGCGCCACCCAAGAATGGTTACAAAATGAGGTTCCTCGCTTCATTTGCAGCGCACAATTGTCACAAAAATCTCCGGATACCAATCCGGAGTATTTGGGAAAGCAAGGTTGGCACTAAAAAATATCAAAGTGTCGATCACCTTAAGCAAGCGCTTCGTCGGGAATGGGCCAAAATACATTTCATTGGCCATTTGAAGGCCATACCTTCGTGCCACAGGTGACCAATTCGAACAAATCTAAACTTTTTCTAAAATTTGATGCAATTTCCGACATTTTTTACTTTTATTCAATAAAATTAAAAAAAAAAAATGTAAAATTATGGCGCTGGACTTTGTTGCAGTTTTTTTATCTCATCCTGTATATGGCAGCTATAGCAAAATCTGAATCGATTTCCGCCAAATTTGAAGTACTTGCTTACACATATGGCGGAGAATAACATAGAAATCAGATGAAGATATATGGGAACATTTTATAATGTCATGCCTTTCCCATGCGACTAATGAGCTTTTACTTTGGAAGTCCACATAGATTTGTTGTAAAACTTCGTCCATGTTGCCTTTCAAGGCAATAATAAAATTGAGTGATGCATGTTTTACGGAGACTAGTAGGAAATGGCGACAATTGAACATGTGCCCCAGGTTTTCGTCCAGAATACACAGGCTACTTCTCATATAACACACTATCTTAACTAAGTTCTCTTATGCCCGTACAATGACAATACAGGGCTTGTACACTGTATTCAAGGTTAAAGTGGTGGTGCATGAGACACACAGCCGGTCTGATATTAGAAAAACCATTGTAGTCATCCAGAAGAAAATATAAAGAGCTCTGCCTTGGAGATTTTCACAATAACAATTTTCTAGAAAATTTTGAAATCAAATGTTCCCGATTTTGTTAAGATTACTATTTCAATAACTTGGTTTTTTGGTAGTAGTGAAAAACCCTTCCGGTCTGGTATGAGATGGTTAGAGTAGTCATATCTATGAAAATATAAAGAGCTCTGCCATTTTACAGGTTTCCCTAATGGAAATTTTCATTCAAATTGCATATCTCTGGGATTCGAATCTATGAATGAAACGTTCCCGAATTTGTTAAGATTCGTATTTCAATAACTTGGTTTTTTAGTGAAAGTGAAAAACCCAGCCGGTCTGGTATGAGAAGGTTAGAGTAGTTATCTCTATAAAAAAAAATTAAGAGTTCTACTCGTTCGAGGTTTCTCCATTGGAAATTTTCATTCAAATTGCATACCTCTGGGATTCGAATCTATGAATGAAATGTGAAATTAAACGTTCTCGATTTTGTAAAGATTCTTTTTTCAATAACTTGGTTTATTGATGGTAGTGACAAAACCCAGGCGGTCTGGTACGAGATGGTAAAAGTAGTCGTCTCTATAAAATATTAAGAGCTCTGCATTTTTGAGCATCTTTTTATTCAAATTGAATACCTCCGGTATTGGAATCTTCTCTACGAAAATATGAAATGAAATCTCTTCAAATAAAATTGGGTTCCTAGTTGGCAAATACTTACATCTGTAAAACTTTTCTCATCCCTTAGGTGTCGAAACGACGTGACCATATTCGTTTGAAAATCGTTCCATTTTAAAAAGAACTGTTGATCGGACGACATCATTAAAAAGCCGTTTGTGTGAGTTTGGCGCACGCGCTTTTATTGGTGTTTGTTGTTGTTGTTGTTGTGGTAGACGTTTGTCTAAGACGCTTTGCTGGCTTGTTTGTGTGTGTGTGTGTGTGTGTGACTCTATCGTCGGTGGGAGAAAGTGTTATTGACTCTTTCTCTGATCTGCTGGTGCTGCTGCTTTTGGTTGTTGCTGTAATTTTATTCCGCTTGTTTTTCTGGCCGCAAAAAAATATGAAAACTCCAAAAAAACGCAACGCAAAGCAAATGTATGATGGCCCTTTTTCTGTGTCACTTGAAGTAATGCCGCAACAAGCAATCGAAATTAAATGAAAGAAAGACACAAACAAGGTCAAAAGTAGTACTGAACGGTGTTGGTAGCGTGGTGTTGTCAGCAATTTTTTTTTTGTCCAGAAAAGTCTAGTTTCTACGAAAAAGACGTTACAATTTCGTTTTAATAAGATGGAAAAAAAGAAAATTGTTGCGAAGTATATGTGGATCTTTGGTTTTGGCGTTTTGGTCAAACAAATATTAGTCACCAATGGAAATTCTGAAAATAGAAGAGAACAGAGGAATTGATTAGTAAATTTTGTACAAGTACAAAAGTGCAAAAATATAAAAAATACTTTCTAGAGACTTCTTCACAGCAAAGTTTTTCTAAAAGTTCTCAAAAATTTAATTTCGGAATGAGCTCTGTTTATAGAAGCCAAAAGCTAAATAGCCGAGAACCAAATACTCTTTTCTGAAAATGACTAAAATTCCATTTCCAAATAGTTTAAAATTTCACACCAAATCCTACACTAAAAGAAAACCGGAGGGCTCACTAAAATTATCGTTTATGCCACATAAAAATAGGTAAACCTGGGAAAAATAAATAAACAAAGCAGGATGGTGCCTAGCTACTTGCTGCTAATACAGGGTAAGATAAAAAAATGCAACAACGTCAAACGCCATCATTTTTACATTTTTAATTTTATTGAATGCAAGAAAAAAATGTCGGAAATAGCATTAAATTTTAGAATAAGTTTAGATTTGTTCGATTGGCCCTCTTTGGCACGAATTATAGCCTTCAAACGGCCAATGAAACCATCACCCGAATATTGCTCTGCGGTATTTTGACCCATTCCCGGCGAAGCGTTTGCTTGAGGTGATCGATACTTTGGTATTTTTTAGTGCCAACCTTGCTTTCCAAAATACTCCAGACACAATAGTCCAACGGATTGGTATCCGGAGATTTTGGTGGCCAAGGTGCGCTGGAAATGAAGCGAGGAACCTCATTTTGTAACCATTATTGGGTGGCACGTGCTGAGTACGATGGTGCTTAGTCCTGTTCGAATGTCCAAGGTCTGCGGCCAAAATGTTTGCGTGCCCAAGGCTTTAATACACTCTCCAGAATAATTTAGCGATAATATTCGGCATGTATTCTGATACCACGGTCGATTAATACGAGCGGAGAGCGAGAGCTGTTATGGCGGCACACGCCATCACCATTGCCGGCGCTTGAGTTCTGCTGACCAACCGAACGTGCACATTCTCAGCTTACCTCTTTGGCAAGTAAACACGATTATTTTTTTTTTTTTTTTTGTTCACAAACTGCTGGACAACGAATGTTTTCTCATCGGAGAAACCAACTTCGGCAGTTCACCAGTTTCGGCCAAGCGAAGAAACTTTTTAGCTTTTTTGAGTCCATTTTCTTTCCGTTGCGGTGTAAGTTCTTGCACTTTTTGGAATTTCAATGGTTTTGCCCCGAGCTCATTTTTCAATATTTGCCGAATGGAATATTGCGATATGTTCAGCTCACAAGCCATTTTCCGCCACTGCGACGCGGGTTTCGATCAAATCGTTTCTTTAATGTTAGAACCATTTCTGCTGATGTTGCTGTTTTTTTCGTCCACTTCCTTGACGTCGAGCTACGTTACCAGTGTTACGGTAAAGAGTGATTGTACGAGACACAAAAAATTTATGCACATTTAAAGGCTGGAGTGCTCGATGCACTATAGCCACTTGTAGCCAAATATAAAGAAATCACACTAACACGCTCGAATTCCATCACGAATAACTTTTTTTCTGGAAAATTCTCACCAAAATGCTTTTGTACGCTTTTGTAATTTGTAATTTTAACAGCTGTCGGACGAGTGGCTTAGAAATGACAGCAGTCTGAAGTTGGTTGCAGTTTTTTCATCTCACCCTGTATACGATGCCAAAAGCTAATTACCCGTTACTAAGAAAACCAAATTCTATTTTCTGAAAATAAAAAAAATTCCATTTCCAAATAGTTTACAATTTCATACCAAACCCTTTACTAAAAGGAAAACCGGAGGATCACTAAAATATTTGTCTATGCCATACAAATTGGTAAACCTGGGGAAAAATAATTAAACAAAGCAGGATGTTTTCTGAAAGCCTGCCAAGCGAATAAACAAATAAAACCTTTGAAATCGAGTCTAACTACTTGCTGCTAATTGGAATATTTTCCTACTGAATAAAGAAGGAAAGAAAAAAACATCATGATTTTGGAAAATTACTAAGTTTAACAATTAAAAAATGATATTCAATAGCGATTAATTCATATCATATTCCTCCAATTTTAAGTAGGTTTGACTTAGAACACATGACCCTAACCGAATAGTTGTAATCTCAAAAAAGATATAAAGACTTCTTCATTCACATTCATCCATTTATTTCCATACTGAATGAATACCCCTAATATTTATTATGAAAAAAATGAAATGTCATACAAATGCTGCACACACAACAGCAGCATTACGTACGATTCAAAAGAGAAAAAAAGTAACAATAACAACAACAACAAATACGTTAAGCACAACCATAACATGCCTTTCACTTTTCAAGGCAATTTCTGCACAACACACAACAATGTTTTTAAACAGAAAATTTACCTCATGCTATAGAAACAAAAAATTGAGTGTAATTTGTGTTGAATTTACTTCTGTATGAAGAATACACAATCATCATACAAACACACACGCACACACACAAACAAGGCTTCCAACTCATCGTCATCATTATTATCAGTAGCAGTAGTGTTGTTGTTGTTTTTTTTTTTTTTTTTTTGGGGGGGGGGGGGGGTGGTTGCCTTGCAATAAGACTTTTCGCTTTTAGTCTTTTGAGCTAAAGCGAAAAAATTATGGCTCCGCAAAAGCCTTTGTTGGTGGGCACAGTGAGGCCTACAAAAACAAAAGTTGTTAGTTTACAAGAGGTAGGTACATTAGTGCTATTATTTAGAAGTTTGTGACTTTTTGGAAGGGTTATCAATGGCTTCCAAATAAGTAAGAAGGTGGTAATTGGAGTATTAAACAAGTAAAAAAGCTGTAAGTTCGACCGGGCCCAACTTTCAATACCCTCCACCATTTGGCACAAATATGGCAATTTTCAAAAAAATAAAATCCGATAAAAGTCATATTAGGGTCTAAACGGCGACGTGGACCTCGATAGGCAACTTTTGTCATAAGGCATTGCAATATTCAATTCCAAACTTGAAAAAAATCGGTGAATAATGTAGCTATAATTATCAATATTAGGAGGTACTATTATATGCGGGATATACCAAAATGTGCAACTGCACAGACAATTTTTTGTCTTAGGCTGTAATATTCATTACGAACTTCAAATGCCAAATTTGAAACAATTCCGGTGAATAATGTCGCTAAAATCATTAGAATACCGAATATCGGGAGGTACCATTATATGGGGCTATATGAAGACGTGGACCTGCACAGACAATCTCCTGTAATATGCTGCAGTATCCATTACGAACTTCAAGAAGCAAATTTGAAACAATTCCGGTGAATAATGTCGCTAAAATCATCAAAATACCGAATATCCGGAGGTACCGTTATATGGGGGCTATACGAAGACGTGGACCTGCACAGACAATTTTTTTTCTTAGGCTGTAGTATTTATTATGAACCTCAAATACCAAATTTGAAACAATTCCAGTGAAAAATGTCGCTAAAATCATTAGAGTACCGAATATCGGGAGGTACCATTATATGGGGCCATACGAAGACGTAGACCTGCACAGACAATCTCCTGTAATATGCTGCAGTATCCATTACGAACCTCAAGAAGCAAATTTGAAACAATTCCGGTGAATAACGTCACTAAAATCAACAAAGTACCGAATATCGGGAGGTACCGTTATATGGGGGCTATACGAATACATGGACCTACATGGCCCATTTTTAATACAAAAAGTCCTGCAGACATGATATACATTTGAGTAAAATTTTATCAATCTACTTCATTTCGTTCAGAAGCTACCTTCTACCTCTGTTATGATTACGATTTCACAACTAACGCTCTCCGTAACAACAAACAATGGTTCTGGTCCATATTGAAAACAGTTTCAAATGGCTAAAACAAATATAACTCTAATTATTTTGTTTAAATTATTATAGATTCTAATAATATCTCCTCATTGCCTTTGTTTGTTCGTTCCTATTTTTCTGGACTTTATTCCTAATTGTTTCGAAAATGAAGTCAATCTTCTAGGCCCGGAATTGAATTCCAAATTCTAAAAAAATGAATGAAATAATTTTAATTAAATATTAACATTAAAAATTAACCATCATCAGTTTAATCGTAACCTTTCAAATCAACTTTTAAATCTATCGAAACTGTCTTCTCCATTGAACTTTAACATTCTCGGAAAAAAAATTGCCAACATACCAGCCAATCTTTTCTATGCTAGAAAACACACACACACACACAAAGCAATGTTAACGTAAAAGTACACAATCTGCAAACGGCAACCAACTACAGCAGACAGACAGCAAACTTCTTCTCTACTCCTACTAATCTAGAATAAGCAAAAAAACAAAAAAAAATGGAAAATATTTGAAGTTCCCTAGAATATCGTGATGGTTGAATTTCAAATGGAATTTCGAAAAAAAAATACAAATGCTATAGTATGGACAGATAGCAACAAAAATTGTATAATGTGGTAGTTGTTGTTTAGATTGTTTTCGTCATCGCCCTAGTCGTCGTCGTCGTCATCGTCATCATCATCATCACCATCATGGTAAGTAAATGCTCTTGCGGCTCCGATGGCGGCGACTGACGGATTGTAATAATGCTGCTTTTCATTTGGGTTTGTGTGTAAATTCTCTTCTTCACAAAGTCATATGCCTTGTAGGAGTTATAGGTAGTGGAAATGTTTTGTTTGTTTGTTCGGTGGCTATAGATTGTGTGTATGTAGGTTTTTGTGAATGATGTCTTCTAAAATCTTGCAATGGTCGATACAACGACGGCGTAAATAGGATCCTATGTGCAAATTGTTTCAACATTTCTGGTCTACGGAGATGGAACTGCAGTATTTGGTGATTAATGGGTATCTATTGCTTGTTTAAAGTACTTCTGCACGAACAACTAAGAATGTAAAATAGACAACACTTTAAGAAACAGATTTAGATTTTACGATTTTTTGGCCACATCTGTTACCAGTCTCGGAAATTATGTTGATTTTTCCATTTAAAAATATATTTTCTTTGATTTTCACAAATTTTTAACAAATCAAACGCAAAAATTATCTAATACATTTTCTATGGCATAAATCAGCTGTGGACAAAGTTTCCCACCATTTTAACAGTCATCTGTCAAAGTCTTTTCGAAGACATCCAAAAGTAACACTCATTTATAATTTAACACATTTTTAATCTTTGTCCGTCTTATTTCTAAACACAAGTCAACTTATTTACAAAAACAAGAACAATAAATAAAGACAAAATTACCTAGAAACCAAAAGTGAAGTATGATGTGGTGCAGCAAATTCAAAGTGTATGGGGTGTCGCAAGTAAACAAAACACAAAAATGCCAAATGTACTCTCACACACTAATGCACCATCCTTTACAACACAAGAGATGATTTCACAACCAAGGAGAAGAGAACAAAAAAGAGCATAGAAAATAACAATAACAAAAAAAACTACTGAAGAAAAAGAAAAATAAAGACGTGAACCATGGTAGGAAAAACAATACAAAGAAATGCACCTTCATTTTGTTTTTGTACACCATTGAATGCAGAGCCGGTAGAACGTTTTGACGGCGACGAGATATATTTTTAATTTGTTTATCTCAGGCAAATAACTTTCAGCGAAGGGAATCTATCACATAAGTAGCATTTTAGTATTAAAGTAATTTGGGTATCCTTTAGCGAACCTCTACACATAAAGTTTGTCAAAAATATGATTTGAAAAGCATGATTGTTCACTACATTAAAATAGAACAAAATAAAAAGGGACTAAAAGATGAATTCTTCTCACATCTATTACCATTTGAATATTTCCCCAAATGTTGAGAAAAAACTGAATAAGGCGGATAAACTAAACAACGATGCTGCAATAAACCTGGCTAGTTGGTTATTTTCAACAGATTATAGAACTAAACGCCTAAGGAAAGAGAAAGAAAAACAATAACCGTACCATATCAAAAGAAAGAAGAGGGAAGACTGAGTTTGTTATTAAGGAGAAAAACATAACAATGAAAGTTGTGTTGTCTCAAAGGGAAGACAGATGACGACGGCGAACAGAAGAAGACAAAATGCAAGAAAAGACACCACAACAAAAAATGGGGGAAATTAATGTGTCGTGCGGCGTACACAAGAGAATGCCACAATACAAAGAAAGCATGGATTAGACCAGACAGCTCAACACATAAAGGAAATGACATATCAAAAATTGAAAAAGCGTGGGAATGCAACATTGCAAAGAAAGTAATATACAATAAACTAAGTAGTAAATTGATATACTATAAGTAAAGGTTACTCAAGTTATTTTTTTTTTTTTGTTTTTACAAAATGAACTTTGTTAATTTTCCATGTGTAATACTCACAAAGAAATTACTAGATCCTCAAACTAAGGAGACCATACACCCGACAATTTTGTAAACACAAATTACTCTCAAATGCAAAAAAATAATACTGAACACATTAAAATGTATTTCCTGGCATGTTGTGCTATTTGTATTTTATATGAGTTTTCGCTTCTTTTCCATCAAACAACATTGTTTGATATTCCACTACCATATCTCACCTTTCACCTTTTTTCTCTTTCACTGCGCTTTACAACAAATACAACTGAAAACTGTCTGGTAACTCTTGTACGATCTCTCTATTCTCTTTCACACAAATGGACGAACAAATAAAAAACATTTTTTCTGCCGTACGACTCCTATTTACAATAAAAACACACACACACATGCATAAACACAAGCCACTCACTCACTCTTCTTTCTTAAACAACAACAACACAATATGAGCACAAACAACCAAGAAAAATCCATCATCATCACCATAGCCAGCTAACCAACGCTTGATTTCGCAATAACCAAGCATAAAGTCTTCATTTCTACGTATTTAATTTTTCCCTTCATAAGTGTACAATTTATCTCTTCTTACCTTCTTTCGAGGATTGATGAACCCTTTTTTCTTCTTTTGCAATATTTCTCCCTTTCACACAAATTTTCTCCGATTCTTTCTTCTTCGAATTTTCTTCTTTCTTCTCAAACGAAAAAAGACACCAAATTATTTTCACTGTACTTTCTTTACCACGGTTCGTGTATTTATTTGTTGTTTCTTAAATTTCTTGTGTAAATTGATATCCACATTGAATAGAAATTATAATTTATTTATTTCCGATTTATTGATGCTTTCTTTTTTTAAGAGCTCGAATGTTAATGCACTTGCTTTTTTTCCTACCGCTGTCCGAAAGAACTGAGTCGTGCCAGAGAGAACAACAACGTCGTCGATGGGAAACATAACGCCGTCAATAGTTAAAGGAACTGGGAGCACACATCAAATTGGGGTACACATTAGCGGTCATCACTGTGTTTGTCGAAAGTTCACAAAAAAGTGGAACATATTTTGCAAGGAATTTAAACACACACCGAAAAAGCGAATGTGAAATCGATAAAAATTGGGACAGAAACCTTTAAAATATGTAGACCTAAAGATGAATCACTATTGATCTGTTTCAGAAATGCAAGAGTGTAAACATTTCTAATTCCCGTCAAAAACGCCAAAGTTCTACAATCAACACTCAAAGTCGACATAAAATATATGCTTTAAGGTGAGAAACTAGTTGCCATTAGTAGTATAAGAGTGGTCAGAAAATTATTGGTCTGTTTCAGAACTGCATGAAAGTACAAATTTTTACTACGATATCCGAATTTTCTTTAATGATATTGAAGAAAATTGTAAAAATAGTAAATTATTTTTTTGAAGTGTATACAATATTAACTAAATTTAGTTGAACGAAGTGAATGTTGTGAAGGAGTAAAATTTAAATTTAATTTGTTTTGTCGTGAAAATGCACCGCGCCGGTATTCTAATAGAAATTTCAAAATAAAAAATTTAATTGTTTTAATGAGATGAGATAGCGTTATTGACCCACGTTCCTTCAGGATGTTTCTCGTTTTGGTATTCTAGAACCCTTTAAACTAAATTTTTCTTTCTTCTAGAACCCTTTCAATTTGCGGCCACCGATAAACAGCATGTCAACGCCGTTTGGTTGTCACCATATGAGCCGCCGCCGTCGAGAAAACCATTGCACTTTGTTGTCTGCATGCAGCTCCTACAATTATTATATTAATTTCGTAAGCAATGAAATTTTAAAAGTTTTCTATAAAATATGTTAAAACTAAACGGCATACTACGAAATCTAAGTAGACGTCATCTTCCCATAGTGGTATGTCGTGATTTCTCTGCAAAAACAGACGAGCAATTGACAAAAATAAGCTCTCGCCAAAAAACCTGGCTAGAGACGCAGGAACGTTACAAAAACTATCAGAATGTAATCTATAGTTCATATTTGGAAACACAAGAGGAGCACATGAGTTATGGCCTGAAGAGATCTTTGGTGAATAAAATAAAAAGGGATAGGAGGCGCCTGCAAAATGAAGCGAAACTGAATAGTCTTAGCACTGGATCCGAAATTCCAAATGATTGGATGGAAGAATATGAACATTATAGTGGACCTTTAGATGAAAATAAAGAAGTTAAAAACAAAATGGGTACAGCTGATGCCACAATACCGTCTTCCAATGTCCCCTGCAATGGTTGTGGAGCACATTTGCATTGTAATCACCACACAAGACCGGGTAAGTTTAATAACCCCATGTAGAATGCTAAGTAATCCAATAAATTTTTCTTTCAGGCTTCCTACCGGTGGAAATTTTCAAAGGCCGCACCACCAAAGAACTAAAGACCATTATTTGCCAACGTTGTCATTTCCTGAAGCACTACAACATTGCCTTGGACATAGAGGTGACGCCAGAATCATACGTTGAAACAATATCCCGCATTAAAAGTGAATTCGCCCTGGCAATAGTCATTGTAGATCTTTTAGATTTCCCCAGTTCAATTTGGCCGGGTATGCATGAGGTTCTGGGACCTAAACGTCCAATATTTGTAGTGGGTAACAAAGTAGATCTGTTGCCGCGGGACAGCAATGGTTACCTGGATCATGTGAAACAATGTCTAAAAGACGAAATCGTTAAGACCGGAATCGATAGACTCAATATTAAACATGTCAGCTTGATATCGGCTAAAACTGGTTATGGCATTGAGGAACTTATAACACAATTGCAAAAAATATGGGCCTATAAGGGAGATGTCTATCTGGTTGGTTGTACAAATGTTGGTAAAAGTTCACTGTTTAATATTTTGCTCAATTCTGACTATAGCAGGCCACAGGTTTCGGATCTGATACCAAAAGCAACAACATGTCCCTGGCCTGGTACGACGTTGCAGATGTTGAAATTTCCCATCTATAGGCCATCGGAAATAAGAATTTTCCAGAGATTTAAACGTTTGCAATCGGAAAAGTTTGCCAAAGCCGAAATGGCAAAATTGCGTTTGGAAAAGGCCCGCAAAACAGGTAACTTTGAAAATGTTGTACCCATGGGAACCATTGGCAGAACATATGTTGAAAATAATGCCGTAGAAGTGGCAGATCCCTTTTCGATGGGAGAGGGAACACAACCCATTACCAGTTTAAATGAAAAAAGCAAAGAGTTCCAGCAGGCAAGATGGCTATATGACACTCCTGGTGTTATGCATCCTGATCAGATCACAAATCTGCTAACACCCAAGGAGTTAATGGAGTTACAACCACAACGAATGATATCACCACGAGCATATCGCCTAAAGCCAGGAATGAGTTTATTTGTGGCTGGCTTGGCACGTTTGGATTTCATTGGTAGCAATTCGCAAGAATTGGAATGGATACAAACTTTTTTGTTTGCTTCCTTTAATTTGCCAACATTGATTGCTCGCACTGATGGAGCTGAAGAGGTGTATGAAAAATATTTAAATACTCCACTAATGCATGTACCAAAAATTATAGAAGGCGAGAAACGTCCATGTACGTGGCCTGGTCTGCAATGCCATCCCGAAGAATTCAAAATTAAAGGTTATATTTTAAAACCAAAAATTAACGAATTAAATTGTTCAGCAGATATAACCCTATCATCGGTGGGATGGGTGGGTTTACGCATTCCCGTCGATACGGAGTGTACATTTAAAGCTTGGACACCTGGAGCCAAGGGGATTTACTGTCGAAACTTATCATTGATACCATACGCAGAGCGTCTAATTGGTAAAAAGATAAGAAATTCATTAGCCTATAATACGTCGAAGCCTTTTATTTTTAAGAAATAAAAAATTGTTTTTTAGTTTTAAATAATTTGTTCTTTTTTTTCTAAAATTTAGCCCTTCTTCAAGCCCCAATTTTAGGGAAGCCGTAGTTATTCTTTTAAAGGCAAAAATTTTAATTAATTTTAAGAAGTGCCGTGAAAAGGGGCTTTCTATTTTTGGGAACTCTGGAATTTCCTCTAAGTCATTTCATGTTTTCATAGAACAAGAATACTGCCCAGCACTTGTAGATATTTCGTATTTCCCTGTCTTGCGTTTTTATATGTTTTGTTCCACAACCTGCAAGAATCTACTAGTTTTGTTATTTTTTTTTTTTTTTTTTGATATCATAAAGGAAAAATTTGTTATCGTAGCAGTACTGGAATAGAGTAGTTATCCTGATGTTTCATAGAAACAACAATGAGACTGAATCCTTAACAATCCTTATATATGATATAAGCAAATAGTTTTAAAATATAAACGTTACGATAAACTATTTAATTTGTCTCTGTCTTTATTACGATTGCAAAAAATGAAGGAAAATCGATTACAGATAATCGAATTACATGTTAAGAGTAAAATTGCATCTCTGTAAATTAAGGTGCCACTTGCATTGAGAAGCAAAAACATAAATCATGTTTATTCATAATTAACACCAATACCCTTTCAATACCAATTGCCTTTCTCTTAACTACTTCTTTGCAACCAATTTCTTTTTTTATGCCCTAATTGCTTTGCAAAAGAACAACAAGCCTCTTACCAAAAGGGAAACGTGAAAGGCTGTACGCCTTTATTTAAGGTTGAACATTTGTGGAACATGGTACACACTCACATTCCATTCATTCCACGAAAAAATTTTGACAGTTCAAGCAGAGAAAAAAAAATAACAAAGAACGAACGAAAAAAATTCGGGATAGGATATTTTCGACCATTTTAATCAATTTATTTGAAGAAATCTACAAAATTAATTTTTCTAACATAAAACCGACAAAGAGGATAACGGAAATGTTGCATTCATAGTGAAGACGTCACATTTCATTTAGTTTATTTTGTGATTTACAACTTCCGAACTGGGTTGTGCACGCACATACAAACTTACAATATTATATACACTCGGAGCGCGACACGACAAGGAAGAAGAGAAAGAGAAACAGAAAAGAAAAAATACCGACAATATTCATGTAATTGAAAAGGGGGCTTTGTAACAGAGCCGTTCTACAGAGAAAAAGGATTTGTTCTACTTCTTTTTGAGGGAAGAAAAAGAAAATGGAACAAAATGCCAATGATCCGTTCGCATCGGAAAACAGTGGTACGGCCCGATTTATAGGCGGCGGTGCAGCCACAGACCACTCCCTAGACAATGGCTTGCCTGGCAGCTCCGGAGGACTGGGCGCTAATACAGCTGGTACTGTAAGTGCTGCCCATGAATTTCAAACCATTAAACCCGGCCTCAGCAGCGGCCTTAAACCAGCCGGACGAACTGAAATTCCACACAGTGAATTGGTCAAGATGTTATACTATTTGGAAGGTGAACTGCAAGCCCGCGATGTGGTTATTGCCGCATTGCGCAATGAACGGGTTAAACAGTACATTTCACAGCTCAAAGTGAAAAGGCTTCAGCCCAACGACCCCCATGCGGCTATATTCCGTGACAAAATTGCCCTATCTGGCAATCTGATATCACGGGAATCCTCAACACAGGCTGCCCAAGCCGAAATGGAAGTGCGTCAGATAATCGAACAGCAAATGGAACAACAATATCAAATGGTTAGCAAGCAAAGGGCCACACATTTGCGTATGGTTAGCATACTCACCGAATCGTTGGAGAACAATCAACGTATGCTGCAGGAACTGGAGGAGGAGAAACGCAAACATGAACATGATACAGCTCAGGGTGATGATATTACATACGGTTTAGAATTGGAACGTACCAAGCTGAGGCAAGAGCTAGAGGAGGAACGTGAAAAAGTGAAAAAGATGGAGAAAGATTTGAAAAAGTTACAAGAAACGCTGGACTTTGAGAGGAATCGTCAGAAGCAAATTGTGTTGCTGCTCATTGCCGAACGAAAGAAAATCATGATGAAGTATATCGAGGAGGGTAAGTGGAGGAGAGATCGAATCAGAATCTTGTGTCTATGATTTCGGGGGCCTGTCACAAAACACATTTAAAATGGTTTTCTGTTCATTGAAGTTGCCTTGATGGTTAAAAAGGGGGTTCTTTCCATAGAGATAAGTTGCAAAGGTATTCATAGAGAAGACCATTGGAAAGGTCTTCTATCCATAGAAGCCTTTGAAATGGTATTTTTTACAAGAAAGCCGTTTTAAAATAACTTCTCTGAATAGAATGTTTTTAAAAAATCTCAGAAGTCCTTTAATTGAGGTTATCGTGACGGATAGAAAGGGTTGAAAGAATCTGAGAGTCTTCGATTCTGTTCTCTTTCCATAGGAAGGATTGTTAAAAGGTAGAGAAGATCATTGAAACGGTCTTCTATCCATAGAACCATTTTGAAAGCTATATTTTCCATAGAAGCTGTTTTGAAATGTCTTCCCTAAATAGAATGCCATCAAAAGGTCCTTTGATTCTAGAACCACTTTTAAAGGCAACATAAAGAATCATAGGAGGCCGTTTCTCTAGAGCAGTACTTTTGAAAGACCCTTTGCATTTAAGACCTTATTTCCAATGAGAAATCCTTTTGAGAACCTTGTGTATATTAGGTACTATTTTTAGGAGTAAAAATATTAGGGTACTAGAGAAGTACTTTTGAAAGACCTTCTTTGCATTTAAGACCTTATTACCAATGAGAAATCCTTTTGAGGACCGTTTACATATTAGGTACTATTTTTAGGAGTAAAAATATTGAGAATTCCAATTTTTGTCCATACTTTCCCCAGGCAAACGTTCTGAAGATCTGGCCCAAATATTGGCAGAGGAAAAGCAACGTTCCGACACCATTGCCGAGGGCTTGGAGGAAGAAAGTAAAAAATCTCTACGCATGGAAGAGGAGTTGGAGAAACAGCAGGCAGCTTTTGAACAAGAACGTAAAATACTCAAATCCAATTTGGCTAAAGAGGAATTGAGGTAAGTTTTATAAAATTTAATCCTTCATTTGTTAATTTCCCAACTTTAATTTTTAATTTTATTATAGGGTCAAAGAATTGGAACAAGAGCTGCTGGCATTGCGTGCCGAAAATGAGGCTTTGAAAAAACATCAACAACAATTGCAACAAAATGCAGCTTTAGCTGGCGGCAGTAGTGCCGCCAAGTCACGGGCTTTTAGTGGTAAGTTTAGAGTTTAAACAAATGACAATTTTTATTTTTATTTATAATAGATAAATATTAAATATTTATTTTTTAAGTGAATTTATTTAATTTTGAAACTTTTTAATTTTCTTTAATACAGAAATGTTTTTGTTAACAAAATAAGTGTTATTAAAGCGAAAATACTAAAAGTTTAGTTTTTTTATTAAATTTAAAACCTGCCAAATCGAAAACAACAACTATTTGAATGAATAATAATAAAAAATTGATTTTTTTTATTAAAAACTCCTTTTTATTGCTTCTTCACCTTCTTTTTTTCCTTTCGTTACAAATCGAATTAAACCAAAAAAAACAACGAAACAAAACCAATACCTCTTCCCACCAAAAAAAAAAAAAAAATACAAAACCAAACGAACCTCAAAACAATCGTTTAATTTTTTACTATATGTAACTATCTCTACAAAAATTTATACAAATTCCAAAGATATCTGAAAATTGTATAAAAAACAAGGTGATTTTTTTTAATTTTCTTCTTCTTCATTTTCTTCATTCTCATTTCATTAAGTTTTCTCTCCTTGTCCTTGATATTTGATCGAAATTGTTTGTAAAGAAGTTTATTTCTATTTCTCTCTATCTCTGTTGTCCAATGTTGTTATCATTTGTACACCAGCACCAATTTGTTTATTTATTAATGATTTTCACTGCGATTTTATGGTATGGTATATTCTACACAAGTGTAAATAAATTTGGCCTATAAATTTGGATCAGTAGTCAATTCAAGGCCACTTTTTAGAGCCACCTTAAATTGACTACTTCATTGCTAGTCCCAAGGATACGTGTGTAGAATATAACAAAATAAAACTATGTAAAATAATAAGATTTGAATAGCTAGTAAAAATCTGCACTATTCATTTGAAAAAAAAAAAAAAAAAAAAAAAAAAAAAACAGAGACAAAAACCTATATCCTACACCAACCAAAATAAGGGGAGCTTTCTTTGAAACATTCGAATGGAAACCAGAAAAAGCCCTCGTGAATTAAAAACAAGTAAAAAGCTGTACGTTCGGCCGGGCGAACTTTGAATACCCTCCACCATTCGAACGAATTTGGCAATTTTCAAAAAAAAAATATATATATATATATATAAAATCCGTTAAAAATTCTGTTAAATTCTTAAAAATACCGAATGTAGCAGTTATATTTGAGTCTATAATGTGGATCTGTCATAAGCCATTACAATATTCAAATGCGAAACTTGAAAAAATCGGTGAATAATGTCGCTAAAATCATCAAAATATTGTTATATGGGGGCTATACGAAGACGTGGATATGAACTAGATAATTTTCTGTCTTAGGCTGTAGTATCCATTACGAATTCCAAATACCAAATTTGTAACAATTCCGGTTAATAATGTCGCTAAAATCAATAAAATACCGAATATCGGGAGGTACCATTATATGGGGGCTATACGAAGACGTGGACCTGCACAAAAAAATTTCTGTCTTAGGCTGTATTATCCATTACGAACTTCAAATACCAAATTTGAAACAATTCCGGTGAATAATGTCGCTAAAATCAATAAAATACTGATTACCGAGTGGTGCTGTTATATGGGGGCCATACGAAGACGTGGACCTGCGAAGACAATTTTCTGTCTTAGGCTGTAGTATCCATTACGAACTTCAAATAACAAATTTGAAACATTTCCGGTGAATAATGTCGCTTAAATCATTGAAATACCGAATATAGAGAGGTACCATTATATGGGGGCTATACGAAGACGTGGACCTGCACAGACAATTTTCTGTCACAGGCTGTAGTATCCATTACGAACTCCAAATACGAAATTTGTAACAATTCCGGTAAATAATGTCGCTAAAATCATCAAAATACCGAATTTCGGGAGGTACCATTATATGGGGGCTATACTTAAATGTGGACCTACATGGCCCATTTTTAATACCAAAAGTCCGACATATATAATATACATTTGAGTAAATTTTTATCAACCTACATCATTTCGTTCGGAAGCTGTAGTGATTTCCACAGACGGACAGATGGACGGACATCGCTACATCGACATAGAATTTTATGCTGATCAAGAATATACATATACTTTGTGGGGTCTACAATATATGTTACAAACGGAATGATAATCCCTCCATACCTATGGTGGAGGGTATAACAATTATGGACAAAAATGAGGAACCTTTAGATTTGATACAAAGGATGTGCCGTGGGCTACTCCCCTGTTTCCAAGGTGGTGTAGGGTATCTTATGTTGTCTCTCCATTCTCTCGTTGTTTATGTTTTGTTTGTTTGTTGTTTGTACAAAAAGAAATTTGCTCTTCCTGTCCACCTCAAATCTAGTTGTATATCCTTTAACCTTTGCTGTCTCTCCTTCTTTCTCTGTACCACTCTCTCTCTCTCTCTGTTGTTCTCATTTAAAGATTTTGTATCATAATTCAGATCTTAACCATAGCGTAATTATGAAACTAAACTAATTAATGTATATGTGTTATTTGTTTCTCCTTTGTTTTGTTTCTACTTCTTCATCTTCTTCCTCGCCCGTTATCTTGTTGATACAATCCTGTAAAACTCTCTGTGTGTGTGTGCGTGCGTGTGTCTCCCATGTGTAGCAGAAGATGGATGTGCCACATCTATGGTTAATATAGCAAAAATTGTACAACCCACGGCTACGGTGTCTAGTGTCCCGGTATCAGGTCCCACCACAGGTATAGCACGATCTCTTGCGCCAGGACAAAATCTACGTACGGGTGTAGCAACAGCTCCTACTATAACACCTTTACCTCAAATGGCCACGGTGGTTTCCCAGCAACAACAACCGTCATCAGCATCGGCATCACCATCTTCAGCATCGTCGGCAGCCGTGGCACCCTTATCATCCTTGGCGACCACAACAAGTGGTGAAACAATGTTACCACCCTCACCGCTAACTTTAAATCCTGTCATACCCTCGCCAGTGGTTGCAGCTGCTGTGGCGCCACCATCACCTTCACCTAAAATGCAGCCTACCGCCACAATACAAAGGGCACCAGGTGGAAAATACTCTGCCCTGGCTGCCGCCGCTGCAGCTGGTCATTCTCTGGATCAAGCGCCTCCACCACATCCGGTGCCCATAGCCGTGCCGCCAGTTACAGTGCCACCATCAGGGGCCCGTGGTGCACCACCACCCATACCTCCTAATAAACCCATAGTACCACCAAAACGGGAGCCGTCGCTATCACGTTTGGGTTCCATAACTGGTGCTGCTGCTGCCGCGGCCGCTGCTGCAGCTGCCAATGCAAAAATTAATTAATTCAATAGGAAAAGGAATCACCGAACCAGGAAAACAGCAGCAACAACAACAAAAGAAAATCATTTCCCAAGGCAGTCAAGGATCCGAGTTTTAATCGGTTAGAACCTGTCAGCTCCAGATCGACATAACAAAGCAAGTTAGAAAAAAATATATAGAGTAGAGTCGCAAAACCTAAGAAACCCATCAACAACAACTACAATAATACTCTCTTAAATTACTTTATACACATATATATATATAAATACAACAACAACAACATACCTACATATATTTGATGATCAGATGAGATGTTGATCACGATGACGATGATGATGAAAATACGTACGTATACATACATATATATATACAATTTAGAAAACTTGAAAATTATTCCAAAATTTTGAAAACAAAACAAAAAAAGTAACGACATAAAATCCAAGAAGAATATCATTCGAATACCACAAAAGTAATCTCAAAACAATACATCAAGGTACTGATTTTCTTTTTCATCACTCCCATTCAATAGCATTTTGGAAGACAAGCAGATGAAAGTTGATGCAGGCCTGAAAAATGGCTTTCAAACATATTTTGTGAGAAGAAGATTCATTTGGAAGGTTTATACGACTTTTCAACGTCTACCAACAGAAAAGGATTGAACCTTTGGAAGAAAATGTCAACCATGAAAATCCAATTTAGAAAAAATACTTTAAGAGGTCCTGCTACAAATCTTCCGTTTATAAATACTCTTTTTGAAAGAAAATCATTATTGAAGATTTTTGAATGGTTTCCTACCTGAAAGACCTTTTAAAAATAGACAAAGACATGTCCTGCAGACAAAGAAGATTTAAAAAAATTGCCCAGAGTAGCCTTTTTTGAATAAAATGTCCAATTTTTTTTTAAAGGAATTGAAGACATTTTGGAAAGTTTACGGTCTTTGTAAGAAAAAGATTTTTTTTTTTTGAAGGTTTAGACGACTTTTCGACGTCGACAAATAGAATATGGATGCATTTTTGGAGGGAAATTTCAACCATGAAAATCCTAAAAATATATATTCTATTTAGAAAAAATACTTTAAAAGGTCCCCCTACAAATCTTCCGTCTACAAATGCTCTTTTTCCATGTTCTGCCCAACAAAGATAATTAAAAAAACAATTGCCCAGAATAGTCTTTCTGAAAAAATCCAAAACTTTGTAAAAGAATAGAAGTTTACAGCCTGCAGAAAAAAGTTAATATGTTTTTTCAGCTCTTCGAAAAGGCCTTTTTAAGGAGCTTCAGTCTACCACAAATTTTTCTAGAATAGAATTTTTGAAAAGCTATAGACCATTAAAGTAAATTTTTTTAACAAAAAGAAAATTTCGTCAAGAACCTTTTTTAAAGATCTCCTTTCTATGGAAGATTTCTTGAATAGTTTTTTGTCCATGGAAGATAAGTGTGAATGGCCACCGCCCTTCTTTCTAAAGGTTTTAAAATTTCATACTTCAAAGTCAACCTAAACTCCAAAAAAGGTCTTAAAAACAAATGAATCTTTCAGAGAAACCTTTTCAAATTCGACTTTTTAAAAGGTTTTTTTTTTACCCTCAGCCATATGGCTAGAGAGGGTATATATCATTTAATACGTCCAAAACGTGTCTCATCGAAATAACGATTTTAGAACCTAGGTCTCTTTGGACCAAATCCGTTTCAGGACATTTGGAGTCGATCTAGCGCTATCCGTCCGTCCGTCTGTCTAGCTGGTGCGCACGATAACTCTCGAAGAGAGTATCCTCCTTGAGTTAACTCCTTGAAAAGGCCTTTTTAAGAAGTTTCAGTCTACCACAAATTTGTCCAGAGTATAAGTTTGAAAAAAACTATAGACCATTAAAGTATATTTAAAAAAACAATAGAAAACTTCGTAAATTATTAACTAAAGAACCATTTTGACAGATCTCCTTCCCATGGAGAATTTTTTGAATAGTTTTTTGTCCATGGAAGATCAGCATGAATGACCTACTGCCCTTCTTTCTGAAACAGTTTTAGACTGTAGGTCTCTTTGGACCAAATTCGTTTCAGGACATTTAGAGTCGATCTAGCGATGTCCGTTCGCCCGTATATCCGTCTGTCTGGCTGGCTGGAGCGCACGATAACTCTCGAAGGGAGCATCCGATTTGATACAAACTCAGTACATCGTAATATTATTGTCAAACTTAGATCGTGTTAAGAGGTGGGCAATATAGGTCTACTCCTTTTGGTACCTCCCCCACAAAATGTCAATATTTTCAAAACAAAAAGAATTTACAGCACAGAAGAAGAAAGGATATACAGATTTTGCTCCATCTTTGCAAATCCTAATATTTGCATCAGTGCTAGGTCAGATGCGAAAATGGACAATATTGGGACACTCCATCCAGTATCTCCCCCACAAAGGGTCAAATTTTTAAATAATTATAACTTTTATAAAATGTGATGCAAGTGTGCGATTGCCTTCAAATAACACACATCACAATATTTTTATTAAACCAAGGTCTGGTGTGAAGATGGCATATATCGGTCTACTCTTTCTGGTACCTTTCCCACGTAAAACACGAAACAAACATTCGATTCCATTCAGACTTCGTACATCCGAGTATTTCCATTAACACAAGGTCTGTTATAAAGACGGTAGAGATTCGACCATTTCTTCTGGTACCTCCCCCATAAAGGGTCAACCTTTTGAATAACCAAAAACGATCATAAATTTTGATGATTTTATCTACATTATTCACCGAATTTTTTATTCAAGTTTCTCATTTGAATATTGTAACGGCTTAAGACAAAAGTTGCCTATGCAGGTCCACGTCGTCGTATAGACCCTAATATAACGGCTACATTCGGTATTTTTAAGATTTTAACAGAATTTTTAACGGATTTTATTTTTTGAAATTGCCAAAATCGTTCCAAATGCTGGAGGGTATTCATAGCCGAATTTTCTGCTTTTTTACCTGTTAATTCTGACTTTTGATAATGTTTTTTTTTTTTTTTGTGAATTTTACCCTAACCATCTTCTATCGTGCAAAAAATAATATACATTAAAGACATGGCGTTGCTTGCTTGTCTGAAACAATGAATCTCTTAAGAAACATAGCAATTTTCATGTACTTCCAAATTAGATTCAACCTAACCCCAAAATACGGTTAAAAACAAATGAATCTCCTAATAATTAGAAAACCCTTTCAAAAATCTTATTTTTTTTTTTTGAAACCTCATTTGGAGGAACTTAAAAAATTATTTTTTAGAATTCTACCCTCATAAGGACTTCCAAACATCTTCTAATCTGAAAAAACTCTGTCCATTAAAAACAGACCTTGTTTTCTGGTTTGAAACTATGAATCTCTTAAAAAATATAGTAATTCTCATGTACTTTCAAATTTTAGACTCCAAATTCATCCTAACCCACTAAAAGGGTTTTAGAAACAAATGAATCTCTTGACAAACAAAAATTTCTCTTTTCAAAATGTGTCTCCTCTTCCAAATGTTACGAAGGAAAACTCTTAAGAAAAACCCCAGTACAAGTTGGTGTATTGTAATATGTAAATTTTAAAAATGTTTTTCCTTTTCAATTTTAATTTGCAATTATTTTTATTTTTTCATTATTTTACCACACAAAAAAAAACAACTGTATTATGAATTGCTAATTTATATAACTCCATCTTTAAGTATTATATTATTCTATACATATATAATTATTTTTTTAAAGCAGCTATCTTTTAGAATGTTTTTTTTTTATAATTTAGCCATAAGCTGCCTATGTGAACGCTATTGTGTTTTTTTAAGTATAATAGATTTGATGCGTAAGCGAAAAGAATTAAAAAGTGTGTGTGTTATTTTACAATAAACTATGGCTTGACGATCCACCAGTAATATACTTTGTTCTTTTTTTGTTGTTGTGTTTATTTTGAAAACAATATTCCTAATCAGCTAAGAATATCATAGGGAAAAATGTAGGGATCTCTTATTTATATTTTTTTTAATTGGTAATATATTTGATTTCATGGAAAATCAAGATGGAAAAAATGGAATTTTTGGAAACATTGTTTATATGTCTTTCTCTTTGGCCAGACCCGAAGGAACACGGAATAAAATTTTTATGTCTAAAATCTTTTTTCTTTCTTAAATTTTGACTTTGAGGTTTCTGTTTCGAAAATTTCAAAGAAAATCACTCATTCCTTTTTTGTCTCAATTTTTTTTTAATTTTATTTTGAATAGTTATATTTAGAATTCCCTTGCGCATCTTCATGCTTAAACAGATCCTGTATACCCTAAAAGAAGTCATATTATTTTGATTTTTTTTATTAAAAAAGGTTTTATTTTTTTTCTTCAAATTTAGAAGCAAGCCATCATCAACATTACGCACAGTTTTATTTTCCAAAATTTTGCGTTTCTTGCAATCACAACAAAAGGTAATTTGTAAAATCTGTTGATACAAAACGCCAATAAAAACATAATTTTTGACAATGATTTATATTCAGCGATTTCCTAAAGAAAAACAATAAACCAAAAACATAATTCTATGAGAAGACTATAAAAAAATATTAAAAACATCACATCAAATAAATGTATAGAATTTTATTAAGGAAAAAAGAAAACCCTTTATATAATGAATAAAAAAACCATATAAGAGTTAAAAAAGAAAGAACAAAAAACTTAAAACAAATGTTGATGGAATAAAACTCAAGAAGAAAAAAATGATAAACCCTAAAAAATGTCCTTTGAAAGAAAAACAAAAAAAATGTATAACATCGTTTTGAGCCGAGAGTTAGAGAAAAAATATATTTGGAAATCAATTTTTTTTCTTAAAAAGTAGTTGTATACATATAAAACTCCACAAAAGTTCATATATCTATATAGAAAACAAACACGAGAAAAAAGGAAACCCCGCAAAAAGAACTTGGGACAAATTATTAATAACTAAAATCTAGCCGTAACGGAAACAAGAATGAATGAAAAATTACATTACTATAATGGAAAAAACCTAAATTATAAATTAATAATAATAAAAAATGAAAACCTTATAATAAAAACCAAACTTGAAAAGAAAACTAAGCCATCAAGGTATTTTCAATTATAAGGGCCCTTGACAAATTTCTGGCACAGGCCAAACGCAATAAATTAATGATTTCTTCAATATTTTCTATGCGATAATCCTTTAAAATGTTAACAGGTTCCTGGAATGAAATGACAAAATGACAATTTAAAAGGTTCGATTTAAAAGCAAACTATTTCAAACCTACATCGGGGAATTTCTCCAGACGCTTCTTTTTCTTTTCAATTAGTGGGACCAATTCCGATTCCAAGTGATGTAATATGGCAGTGGTTTCCTTGGAGAGTATTTTGGGATCTTTGGATTCCAACAGGGGAATGGTATCGATTAAAAGTGAGGGCCAAAAGCTGAAATGAAAAGAAGAAGATCATTAAGCTCGTCTCGAAAGAGAAATAAACACATAAATCGCGTAAACATATGATCATCGCATTAACTAGGCAAAACTAAAAAAAAAGACATTAGCAAAGAAAAATATTTTTGATACCTTGGAAAGGAGGGTATATTAACTTTGTAACATCCCTAAATATTCGTCGTGGGCCCAATAAAGTATATATATTCATAATCTGCATAAAATGTTTAGTCGATTTAACGATGTCCGTCCGTCTGTCTGTCTGTTGAAATCACGATACAGCCCACATTATTTGACGTAGAGCGTCAAAATTTAGCAGAACAATTTGTATTGTGTCTAGGATGTTTGGTATTGAAAATGAGATTTATTGGTCCACGTTTTGGTATAGTCCCCATATAACGGTACCTCCCGATATTTGGTATTTTGATGATTTTTGCCACATTTTTTTCACGGATTTGTCTGAAAATTGGTATTTGTAGGTCATAGAGGGCCCTTATTCGTGTGGCGAAACATTGCATATATCGGTCCACGTTTTGGTATAGCCCCCATATAACGGTACCTCCTGATATTTGGTATTTTGATGGTTTTTGCCACATTTTTTTTCACGGATTTGTCTGAAAACTGGTATTTGTAGGTCATAGTGTGTCCTAGTTCGTGTGGCGAAACATTGTGTGTATAGGTCCACGCTTTGGTATTGATGATTTTTGCCACATTTCTTCGTGGATTTGTCCAAAAGTTGGTATTTGTTGGTTATAATGGGTCCTAATGTTTCCTTTACCATAAGGTTGAAGTTATTAAAAGTTCGGCATGACCGGACTTAACGTTTTTTTACTTATTCTTTAAAATATTTTTCATGATGTTTTAAAATTATATCTTCTGTTACAGAATCTGCAAGAATATGCAAGTTTTGCTATTTTTTCCTATCTCTTAAAAAGAAAATCGATTTGTAAACAATTCAACACTCACTATTCTGGTGTAATTTTCGAATCCAATAAATTCACCAACAACTCTGCGGCAGGCAGAAAATCCCGTTTCCTATAGAATTGATAGAAATCGAAATACTTAACCAAGAATACCAGTCTTGGGGAGATAAACATTTTGGCACCAATATTTGCAATGATATCCGGGCAAAGCATGTCACCGGTTTTGGCATAATGCTGAAACAATAAAAAACATTAAAAAAGAAAAACTTCAAAGAAACGCCTACTTACCTTCAAAAGAAAATCCGCAATCGATGTAACATAAAGGGTGTCCTTGGAACGTATAGCCCATTCCAAGGCATTGCCATAACGTTCATCATCCAGCGATTGTTTGGCTTGTACCTTACATATTTCCTGTTCGGCATTTGGGAAATTCATTTTACGGCAAATCTCCAAAATTTTCATAGCTTGTTTCTCCGTTTTAATAGGAATTTTGGTGAGACATAATTCCAATGCCGCCAAACCTTCTTCGGAACAAAATTGTAAATAATCCATGCCCAGTTGCCACAGTGAATTGCGTGTCATTAAATTGCTGCCGAATTCATACAGCAAAGAGTCCCTTAACTTAATGCAGTCACTACAATGAGAAACACACTATAATATCTTCTAACAACCAAAACCCTTTCCCAAAATACTTACTTCATTTGATGTTCTCCAACCACCTGCAATTGGCCACAGTTGTAAAGCAAATCTGTCAGATGTGTTACAAACCATTGATTATCTGCCATTAACTGAATGGCATGTATAACTTGATGCATATCATTTTCCATCAGGCTTAGAATAACCTTATCCAGATGTTTTAATTGAGGTTCTTTGCCCTGCTGCGTTTTCATGCGTGCCCAACGATCTAACCATGAATTGGCAGCTGTTCCCAATTCAAAATGTTTACATGCCGGATTGGTATAGAATAAATAACCCGGTAAATACTCATACCAATAATCTGAATTGTCAATATGGGCATTCCAGGTTTGTGTGTCACCAATTATCAATTGGACAAGTTCTTCCAGATTTGGTTCAACAGCCAAAATATTGGCAGTTAGTTTACGTTCTGTATCCGTTAGCCAGTACTGCCATTGTGAGCGGAACTTTTGTATTGAAAAGCCACCGTAGACCTAAAAAATAAATTTATTTTATATCAATTTATTTTAAAAAATTGATTTGACATTGACTTACATTAAATGTTGGCATTGCTTTCAATATCTGCTCGGTCATTTTAAATGCCGCACTCTCGGCCTGAGGATGCGACTGCAGAATGGCACGTGCCACATCGACTTGACCCTGTAATACCAAACCCTTCAAAGCTGGCCAGTACTCTTCACTATCGCTGGCATCACGACCCATTAACAATAAATCCGTTGCCATACGTTCGGCAGCGGGAAAATGAAAACGTACCCATTCCAATAGCTGTGGCACAATGACATTTGAGGGTGTTTGATCCAGAAACAATATTTCACTCAAATGCCAAACACATTCAATGGAATAGAATATGGAAATATATTGTTGATACATATCGTGCTCTTTACTGGCTTCTTCAGCCAAACCGGCAGCATCTTGTAATTTCTCTAAGCACGCTCGAATAATACTGCGATACGTACGAGAAATTTTTGTATAGTCTGCTTTGGAGCCTTTACGTTTGAGCGACTGCAGGGCAACAAATGTCGAATTAGCTTCTGCAATAAGACTACGTAGTATGGGATCATCGAATATGAACTCAGGCTGTAAGAGATGTATTTTTACGGGATCCTTGCCGGCATAATCTGTGGGTTTGTCTCGTGTACTGGCTGTGATGGGACGAAAGGCATGAAGGGCAATTTTACTGCCACATACAAATTGTCCTGCTAGAGTGTTGCCGTAACGTGTGCTCAGTGGATCCGCAATACCCTGGAAATTAAATAATTTAAAATTTATGAAAATGAGGCAAAACAAAACGTGAGTTATTTAGAGTTCCAATGGCATGCAGCATTCTCCCGCCAATTTATGGCAAGTCAATTGCATTTTCAATGACTTTAACTGTTATGACTGCGATAATTTTTCCAAGTTTACTTACAAATACTGCGATTTGTTCGTCTTCCATTTTATATATTTAATTTTAAAAGAATTTAATTAAATTTCGCAAAAAATGAGTCTGTTGTTTATTGTGGATGAGGGATATATAGATCGACTTTGAATTTACCGGTTTATCAAACTGTTGACTAATAGGGATCTATAGATCAAATTTGATTCAACTGCTTAATCGTAATATTTTTCTAAATTATTGATGAAAGTAAAGAGGGATTCAAAAAATGCTAATATATATCCTTCTCCTTATGTAATATCAGATTTTTTTTTAACAAAGCGTTAAATATTGGTGACATATTTTAAAAGATTTTGGTAGATTAACTTTGTTCTAGATGACACTCAAACTGTTGAACAATAGAGTTCTGTAGATCGATTGCTCTTCACCAAGTAATCAAATTGTTAATAACATTAGTTTTTGTAAAAGTTTAGGAAAACTGAATTTTCAGTTAGAATAAATTAAGAAGAAATTAATTTGTACATTACTTAAAAAAAGAAGGCTTAACATATCAACCTCTTCGCCATAAAATTAATAATTTCATAAAATTACTCATGGAATATAACACTCCATTACTAAGGTAGTCTAAACGTATTTCTCTTTCCCAGCGGCCCATATAGATAGACTTCTCACAACGGGACATAGAAAATGAAATCCACATTTTATATTAAAATTTGTTATTATATTAAAGGCAGTGCTTATTTGATATAAAATAAACTACATTTTAAAAACATAAATACATATTTCAAAAATAGTTTTAACTAAATAAAAGAATAATTCATTTTTGAACAAATTATCGAAATCAGTCGAGAGCTAAAATTAAAAATAAAATAATAAATTGAGTTACTCTACATTCCATATTTTTCTAATGGGAAATTACATAACCCTCAATCATTAGGTTATCCAATAAACGCAGATGACTTTCATCCACAAAGGTGATAATTAAATCTTCATGATGGCTAACAACTTTAACATCTAAGTTTTGATTCAGCAGAACTGCACACAATTTTTCAATGGCATGCTTTTTCTCTTGCGGTGCCACTTGAACTTCTCGCAAATTAGCTAAACGGCAAAGTATGGCCTGGAAAGGTATTTGAGCCATTCCGGAATCACATTTGGCTAAATATCTTAAATGTACCAGCTGATGATTGCCATAGTCCACATAGAAGACTTTAAACATTTTATAATCGTCATCATGCGATACGATTTTGGCTCTGTACCAGTTACCATCATCATAGCGTGCCAATACCAATTCATAGATATGTGGTGGCTTTTCGAGGCGTTTCCATGCCGGAATATCTTCATCATTCCATATGAGGGGGCTATTGTTATGATGCACATCATTGATTTGGGCATAAAATGAACATATTTGTCCTATATGGGTGGGCGTTATGTTAATAATGGCATCTTTGGGATATACCACAGTCGGTGTGCGGTTATCGACAAAGGAAGTGGCAGGTATTATATCTTTGGTCCAACCTTCGGGATCTAAGGGTTCGTGGTCTTGTTTACAGCTGGATCCCTTAAAACATGCACCCGTTTTGGGATCATAGAAACGACATAGACGTTTTTCATCTTTGGGATTGTAGCCCATTACAGCGGTCAATGCATTGCTGGTACAAAGTAAGGGATCGTCGTAGAGAATTTCCAACTCCTCTCTTGTTAGCTCTTTCGTTTGCATTGGATTTGTTTGGCGAAAGGGGTTTGTGTCAATTTTTAAATCTTGAACTCGATCAGTGGTGTGTGTTATTGTTGTTTTCAGATCATCATCATCATCATCGTTTGCAAATTCCACCACAAGTAGGTCGTTTTTAATTTCATTAATCTTCAAATCACATTGCTTATACTCCATTTCTTTAAGCTTCTCTGCTGCAGCATTATCTTGGGATTGCAAATGTACTCTACACAGTATACCCAAGGCCGGTATATGTTGCTGCTCTTCGCTTAGCCTATATTTAATATCATCCATTTTCATGTGCTCAATTTCCCCAAAATCTAGCAGATAACAAGGATACACCTGCTCCTCCAATTCCTGATCATATAGAATAGTAGTGGAACGCACTGCTCTCAGTATACGTTTGTCCAGAACTAAACCGAACACCTCATTGACGGGCGGTAGGCTATGGTATTGTCTCAAATCCAAGGAATGAGCCACTTCATTGATAATGCCCACATATTTTGATTGGAAATCAATAATATTAAATTCCAAATTATTCACATCTTTTAGATAGGTAATAAATCCTTTTATCTTATCACCAATGGTATAGATTTCGTTTAAATTTTGTTTGGGATAAATAAATCCCATATCGTTACGATCTTCGTTGGCAGTGCACGGCATCTCTTCGGCTGGATATAGGGATTTATTGTAATTTTGTATGAAGTCTATCCGTTTCAGTTCTTTGTTCTCAGTGTTTGTGTCCTTGTTGTCCTTTACAGTCTTAGTATTGCTGCTCTCTTCGCCAGCCTTAATTCCAAACATTTCCAAAATTTGAGTTTTATCTTCACTTTGATTTAGTTGCAGTTGTAGATTAAATTTCCTTGCCAGGTTCATGACATTTGTTATACTGGTTAGGAAATTGTCGTAGATCATTAAAGCCAAGCCACCACCCCGCTCCACCTCGGACCAATGGTTCTCCACCATTCTGACCATGTTTGTACTTGATTGCAGGTATTGTTCCACATTCGTTTGCAATTGGAATAGCTCCTGCAGGCAGATTTTGTGTAGCTGCTGTAGTTGTTGCAATCGTTCTTGCATATTCGTGCCGCCGGTGTGCGCCATTTGTTGATTTTATTAATTTTATTTTTGTTGTTTTTTTTTAATTTAACATTTAACAAAGGGTCTCCAAGATCTCCGATCGAGATCTTTACAATGACTTCCCGGGACACAAGATGTGGATTTAATGTTCGTGGGTATGACTTGTAAAACCAAAATGAAAAACGTTCCAACGAAACAAACAAGCATGGAGAACATAATGTTGGATAAAAAATAAATTGAAAGCAAAATCTCCGCACACTTCTATTGTTTACGAATGAGTGTGATGCATAACGCCAAGAACTACCTCTGCTGTTTACGAATGAGACATGAGAACAACGTATTCACCTGGGACATTCATTAAAATGAGCAAGGAACTAGTGTACAATGTTTCAGCGAATGCTTAATTTGTTTCAAGCAATGATTTTTGCACCGGGTCGGGTCACTATTGAATTTAATAAACAAAATAATAAATAATCTATTGAATTTGAAGTCGTTTATTGACATTTTTGTTTTTTTTTTATATTTTTGGACATAACTGCGGTAACATGGTAGAAGAATACAGATAGATGCATCAATGCTTGGGAACATTGATAAATCAAAAAATTTTTAATTTTTTTTTTTTCAAAAATAAATAGATTTTTATAAGTTTTCTTATACGACGCCAATCGGAGGTTGTTATGACATGCATTTTTCAAGAATTTGTACAAATTTAATTAAATTTTCATTCAACATTTTCAATTACAAAATTGGTTTGACAGTTCATTTTCCCAGCAGCTGTGTCGACGCGTCTACATATATTCTTCTACCATGTACGATACGCACATAACAAATCCAGTGTATTACAACTGTCAATTTCAATGCATATACGTCAAATGAAACCCCCAGGATTCCAAAGTGGATTTCATTGACATATACACAATGGAATTGTCAGTTAAAGTCTACTCGATTTAGGAAGTCTAAACGTACTTTAAGCTTTCTATACGTGATTACCAAATGGATTTTGTAATAAAAAATAACATCGCGATGGCCAAAATTATTTATTGTATTATTGTACACACACAAATCAGAGAAAATGCAGAGATGGATATGCTTATTTGAAATGACTTTACTTTCTTCATTTTAGAATGAAGAATCAATTCCCTGTTCTTTTTTTTATTTATTTTTAAATCAAAAACAATCATCAACACTGGGCAATGCACCATTGCAATGCCTCCAAGTCGACCAAGCCTTCCAACCTTGTTCCATTAAGATTAATCTGGCACACTTAACATCGGCTGCAATAGAGTCTGTCAAAAATGCATTACACTGCACATTACACAAGTTGTGACTGAAAGCGCCCGAGGCAGGAGTACACCAATATTTATCATTAATTTGAAAAATTCCATAATCTCGTGATCCATCCGAATTGACAGGTCCCACAGCTTTACTATTGAATGTCGACTCATGTTTGGCAATGCATATCCAACGGGATAAATTACTTTTGGCTACTCCCAATTTGTGTAATTCCTTGGCCAAGGAACAACGTTGGTAGATTTTTCCAACAACAATCGGTGATGGGGAGAGTAGGACAAATAAAATTATTAAACCAGAAATGTTGTACATAATATTTTCCCGGGCTTTTAGTTGTGCTTGCGAATGACGAATGAAAATTATGTAGTGAATATTCTGTTTACTATTGTTTTATAGAAAATGTTTCGTCGCTTGTGGTGCCTCGTTTGGATTTCATGTGGGTAGTTGCGGAAAAACACCATAAATTTCTATTTGTTATCAATTTATGTTTATACACCGACATAGTTTCCATCAGAGTTTTAGCTGTTTGACAGTGTGAAGTGAATTTATTGATTATCTAATTTATTTTTTTTTAGAATTCATGTTTTGTTTTTACCACCCAATTAATTGGTAAGTGCTTAGTTCGATGCTTTACGAACAGGTAAAATATTCGGAAATAATTCCGATCAGACGTTTTAAAAGAGGCACTTACTTCCGCATCTGTCAGACGTTGAATTAAGCCAGTCAATATATATTGCCCCTATATTTGTGTTATATTTGAGATTCTCCCAAATGCTAGAGCTTATAAATGGAGATTTATAGCTTAAACAAAAATCGACCTACATATCCCTACTATATTGCAAAATAATTTGACATTTCATTGTACCACCAGCTATGTTGATGCGAATATCTGTATTATTTTACCATAATTGAAACTCTTATTTTATTTGCAGCACTGAGACATAATTAAAAACCCTGGTCTTGGCTTTGACATCGATTACGGTAAAAGCCTTAACGACAGCTCCTTCCCATGAACATAAAGGTGAGAATACATAAAACGCTTTTTTTGACTGGCTATACTTTCAAATACTGGCGCCAAATTAAGTAACTAATATATATATAGCCCCAATCTTAGTGTTATATTAGAGTATCTTCCAAATGCTAGAGCTTTTACATGAAGATTTATTGCTTGGACAAAAATCGACCTACATATCCCTACTATATTGCAAAATAATTTGACATTTCATTGTACCACCAGCTATGTTGATGCGAATATCTGTATTATTTTACCATAATTGAAACTCTTATTTTATTTGCAGCACTGAGACATAATTAAAAACCCTGGTCTTGGCTTTGACATCGATTACGGTAAAAGCCTTAACGACAGCTCCTTCCCATGAACATAAAGGTGAGAATACATAAAACGCTTTTTTTTGACTGGCTATACTTTCAAATACTGGCGCCAAATTAAGTAACTAATATATAGCCAAAATGTTAGTGTTATATTAGAGAATTTTCCAAATACTAGAGCTTTTATATGGAGATTTATTGCTTAGACAAAAATCGACCTACATATCCCTACCTGGTTAGACTACTGTACATATGGTGTTAGTTATAAAGTAGCCTGGCCACACATTGAATTTCAGAACACAAATATCCCCCCCACAACTTTCCCACATTACTGAAAATGTCGTTTCCAATAAATCTACTTTTATTTCAATGTGCCAAAATCGAACTAATTCAACCTAAACCTCCCTTGTTTCTCTGCGAAGAATCCAGCCGATGACTTAAGACAGTCAAAGAAAGTCTTTTATGTACTCTAATCTTAAGATGTCTATACGACATGACATTTTTTTAAAAAAAAAGAAAGAATATTAATATTCTTCCTATACTTTCAAATACTGACGTCAATTTAAATAACTAATATATATATATAGCCCCAATCTTAGTGTTATATTAGAGTATCTTCCAGATGCTAGAGCTTTTACATGAAGATTTATTGCTTGGACAAAAATCGACCTACATATCCCTATCCTGGACAGTAGCAAACAGTAGTCTATCCATGGTAGAAGAATACAGGTGTATGCATCAATATGTCAAAAATATTTAAATGTTTTTTTAAAAAATAAGTAGTTTTGTATATGTTTTTCTATACGACGCCAATCGGAGGTTGTTATGATATGCATTTTTAACAATTTTTACAAATTTGAATAATTTTTCATTCAAAAATTTTAATTCCAAAATTCATTTAACTTTCATTTTCATTAACTACCTGAATTCTTCTATCATGCTATTGTTAGTCATAAAGTGGCCTGGCCACACATCGCATTTCAGGACACAAATATCGCCCCACAACTTTCCCAAATTGACTGAAAACATAGTTTTCAAGAAAACTACTTTTATTTCAGAAAATATTTACAAAACAATCAACAAATTGCATAAATAAAGCTATGATTCAGCACAATGACTATTAACTACTAAAATAACTCACAAAGAACTACAATAAACCTCCATTCGCTGAAGCATTGGCTACAGCGGCGGCAGCCAGCGTTGTCTGATTGAGATTATTACGACTCAGTATTTGACGCATTGTCTGCAGCTCATCACGCATGGCTAGAACTTGTGCCCTCAGCAAAGAATTTTCTTGCTCTAGAAAAGCCGCCCGAAAAGCAATACGATCTTCACGAATTTTCCGAGCATCTCGAGATTTTTTTGCCGCTTCATTATTGCGCTTTCGTCGCTCATAATATTTATCATCTTTTTGTTCTTCGGGAATGGGACGTTTTTCACCGCGCGGTCGTCGATGTAGAAATGAGGGAAATATTCCGGCACCACCACCACCAACACGATTCAGTTCCATGAGCGGGAAATCAACAGGGCTGAGATTACGTGCCGCCGGTGTTAGGTATTCAAAAGCGGGCAATGTGGTCTGTAGACCTCCTGAGGATCCGGGCAATGGTAGCAGATTGAGATTTGGTAAGGCAAGACCACCGGGCATGGTGGTGCTAGTGGTTTGTAATAGGTTTGCATTATCTTTGTGCGCGTCTGGAGGTTTAGTTATGTTCAGTGATTTTTCAGAACTGCTCTCGTTTTGTGTCAAGCAGGCGGCAATGGAATTTTCCAATTCGGCAGGTATATGTTCCAATGTTGAGTTATCGATAACATCCAATATTGGTGATGTGGGTGGAGTCTTTGCAGTTTCGTAATTGTGATGTAGAATTGTATCCAATTGGGGATTTAATGGTTGCCCCTCCTTGAGTAGATTGTAGTAGGGAGAGGGCTCTGTAAGTAGAAATAAAAAGGGGTTTGGGAATTAATTTAAATATCGTTAGTAAGGGTTTTGACACATAAGCAGCTTGGCATCATGGCATATCAATTTATAAGCCAATGCGACGGCAGGATTCGAATGCGGATCTGACATTTAAATTTTTGTATTTTTAGCCGCGTTTTGGTAACACATATTTGGAAGCTATAACTTTTGCAATATTTATCGGAAATGTCTGAAATAAAGTGACTTCGAAAGAAGAACATTTATTTTACAATCTGAAATTAGGTTAGATGAATAGCTTGTAGGTTTTCAGAGATATCGCCAATTATGAGCAAAAATTACAATGTTGATTTTTTTTTTAATTTTTAGGTAACTACATTATAGAAGCCATAGCTTTTGAAGTTGTCATCGGATTTACATGAAATAAAATGATTCTGAAAGGGAAAGACTTAAGTAAAAAGTCGAAAATAACTTCTCCATATAACTTAGGTAATACCAGAGATATCGAATAATTTTCACAAAAGTTCAGATTTTTCTACTTCTCCAAATTTTTGAGTACTCATCTTCAATGTGTCATAACTTTTGAAATTATTGTGACATAATAATAGTTTAACATGATTTTGGAAGAAGAAAAGTTCTACTTTCAAAATCGCTTAATTATTTTGACATAGCTACTCAAATACTAGAGTAATCGTCAAAAGTTACAATTGCGCAAAAGCTTAATTTTTAACCGTGTTTTGGTTATACATTTTTAAAGGCAATAACTTTTGCAATATCTATTGGATTTTTGTAAAATAAAGTGAATTTGAAAAAGAAAAACATTTGATTTACAATCCAAAATTAAATTATTTTAATAACCTGTAGGGTTTTAGAGATATCCGCAAATATATACAATAGTTATTATATTGAAATTTTAAAGTTTTTTAGGTAACAACATTCTGGGAGCCAAAGCTTTTAAAATTATTATCGGATTTACACGAAATAAAATGATTTTGGAAGAAGAAGACTTAAGTAATAAATCGAAATTAATATTTTGATGTAGCTCGTGTAATACCAAAGATATCGCATTAATCCAAAAAAATTCCAAATTCTTAACTTCTTCAAATTTCTGACTAGGCACCTTCAAATTTCCCTAACTTTTGTAATAATTGTGATACAATTATAATTTAACATGATTTTGGAAGAAGAATAAGTCTACTTTAAATCCCATTTAGTTATTTTTACATAGCTACTCAAATTGCAGAGTTATCGCCAAATTTACATGATGCGCAAAAGTTTGAATTTTTAGCCGTGTTTTAGTAACACAATTCTGAAGGCTATAACTTTTGCAATATCTATTGGATCTTTGTAAAATGAATTGAGTTGGAAAGAAAAACATTTATTTAATATTCTAAAATTAAGTTATTTTAATAGCTCGTAGGGTTTTAAAGATATGGCCAAATATTTAGAATAACTATAATTTAAAGCTTTTTCTGTAGTTTTTGGGTAACAACTTTTGGAAGCCACAGAATCTGTGATTGTCATCGGAATTACACGAAATGAAATGATTTTGGAAGAAGAAAATTTATGTTAAAAACCGAAATTAAAATTTCAATATAGCCTATGTAATACCAGAGATATGGTATAATTTCTAAAGAAATTCCAAGTTCTATACTTTTGCAAAATTATTAGTACACATCTTCACTGTGGTATAACTTTTGATTTAATTGTGGTAAAGTTATAATTCAATATGATCCTAAATAAGAAGATCTTGTCTATAAACTCCATTCATTAGTTTTAAAATATCTCATCAACTACTAAAGTTAGCCCCAAAAGTTAGAGGATGCGCAAACATTTGAATTTTGAAGTGTATTTTTGCATTAATTTTCTGTAAGCCATAACTTCAGTTGTGGTCATGGGAGTTATATCAAATAAAGTGATTTCGGAAGAGAAAGGCCTAAGGATAAAATCGAAATTATAAAGTAGAATTCACTTCCGTAATACCAGAGATATCGCACATTTTCCAAAGGTATTATATTATAACGTCTATTAAATTTGTAACGTCTTTTCTGTTTTTCTTTTTATTAATTGTTTTTCCTCTTCATTTTTACCTGCATTCGGTGGCAGCATTAAACGATTTCGGGTCCTCAGAAAGTGAAATGTTGAAAATGAAAACGGTTCCACTAGATTATTAAAATTCCTTTGATGTAAAGATGTATTGCACATTGTGTTAAAGTATTTTCCCCGATTGATCTTTTTCACTCCAAAAAAGTACCGTTACAAATCGAAATTAAGTTTATTTTTATTAACCGCCAAAATAGTTTTTGTATTACCACCGCAAATCACGTCTCAGTCATAACTGATTTGAATCCCAAAGTTTTACCAACTTAAAAAGCCATACAGGAAAATACGCAGCAAAGGACATATAGAGTTGGAATAAAATCCTCCACCATATCACTGTGGGAGGGTTATACAGATTGCGTAGTTGTCACCATAGAGCTTGAGCTATGCCCTTCCCTCCCCTCCTCCTCCCAATCTCTGCCAGTTACCATTTACTTTCTAACTTTGATTCAACCAATCACGCAATGTTGACTGGTAATTACCACGTAAATTGCATGACACTTTACATACATAGTCGGCATGTCCTTTGGTAAACACACACATACATACCTACATATACACTTTGTGATATGTTAGTGTGTGGTTGTGTGAGTTTATATGTGTCCCATAAGTTATAGGTAATGCCGTAGATGATTATAAGGACTTCATATAACTGGTTACAACAAATGTGAAAGGACATTATCATTTGTGGCCCGAAAACAGGAGACACCCTTTCGATGTTGTTTCGTTTTGGGGCCAATACACACACACACGTAGAATTCCATGTATGTATAATAATTGTCTGTCTGTAAGTTATTTTAGGGTTGCAGGACTGGCCAGGAGAAATTACAAAAAGGAAAAACAGGTGGAAAGTAATTTTTGATATGTAAAGGAATTTTTAAATAACTAAGGTTGGATGAGGACTATTGAGGAGGAAATTTAAAAAGGGGATTTCAGACCAAAAAACCTCGGATTTTTTTAGAAATTTTCGGATTTGTAAAAAAATATTTTTTTCAAGACCTGGAAAACGGGGAGTTTTAAAGAATATTTTTTCAAGTCTTGGGAAACGTGGATTTTTAAAGAATATTTTTTTCCAGTCGTGGAAAACGTGATTTTTTTTAAAAATATTTTTCCAAAAATTCTAAGGCCTGGAAAACGTGGATTTTTAAAGAATATTTTTTCAAGAATACTCAGGCCTGGAAAACGTGGATTTTTAAAGATTATTTTTTCAAGAATACTCAGGCCTGGAAAACGTGGATTTTTAAAGAATATTTTTTCAAAAGTATTCATGCCTGGAAAATAGGGATTTTTGAAGAATATTTTTCAAGAAAACCCAGGCCTGGAAAATGTGCTTTTTTAAAGAATATTTTTTCAATGCCTGGAAAACGTGCTTTTTTAAAGAATATTTTTTTAAAAGGTCTGGAAAACGTGGATTTTTAGAGAATATTTTTTCGGGGATTTTTAAAGTATTTCGAGAATACCCAGGCCTGGAAAACGTGGAATATTCTTTTAAAAGGCCTGGAAAACGTGGATTTTTAGATAATATTTTTTCGGGGATTTTTAAAGAATTTCGAGAATACCCAGGCCTGGAAAACGTGGTTTTTTTAAAGAATATTTTTTTCGGGGATTTTTAAAGAATTTCGCGAATGCCTGGAAAACGTTGGCCTGGAAAACGTGGATTTTTAAAGAATATTTTTTCGGGGATTTTTAAAGAATTTCGAGAATACCCAGCCCTGGAAAACGTGGGTTTTTAAAGAATAATGTTTCGGGGATTTTTAAAGAATTTCGAGAATACCCAGGCCTGGAAAACGTGGGTTTTTAAAGAATAATGTTTCGGGGATTTTTAAAGAATTTCGAGAATACCCAGGTCAGGAAAACGTGAATTTTAAAAAAAGATGAACAGGTTTAAAAAACTTGGATTTTATAAAAATGTGATTTCAAATATTTTTAGGAAGGTTAGACCTGGACAGCGTGGATACTAAAAAATACAATTTTTAATATTTTTTAGGAAGGTCAGACCTGGAAAACGTGGCTTTTATAAAAAATATAATTTTAAATATTTTTAGAAGGTCAGGCCTGGAAAATGTGGTTTTCGTAAAAAGAATATGATTTTAAATATTTTTCTGGGATGACCAGGCCCTGGAAACTTGGATTTTATAAAAATATGATTTTAAATATTTTTAGGAAGATCAGACCTGGAAAACTTGGATTTTATAAAAATATGATTTTTATTTTCTAGGATGACCAGTTAAATATGCCAGACCTGGGAAGCGTGGATTTTATAAAAGTTTGTTTCAAAATATTTTTCTAAATTCTAAAAAATTAAAAAAATTAAATATTTTTTCTAGGATGACCAGGCCCAAAAAACTTGGATTTTATAAAAATATGATTTTACATATTTTTAGGAAGGTCAGGCCTAGAAAACGTTGATTCTATAAAAATATTATTTTAAATATTTTTTAGGAAGGTCAGTCCTGGAAAACTTGGATTTTATAAAAGATATGATTTTAAATATTTTTTCTAGGATGACCAGGCCCAAAAAACTTGGATTTTATAAAAATATGATTTTAAATATTTTTAGGAAGATCAGACCTGGAAAACTTGGATTTTATAAAAATATGATTTTTATTTTCTAGGATGACCAGTTAAATATGCCAGGCCTGGGAAGCGTGGATTTTATAAAAGTTTGTTTCAAAATATTTTTCTAAATTCTAAAAAATTAAAAAAATTAAATATTTTTTCTAGGATGACCAGGCCCAAAAAACTTGGATTTTATAAAAATATGATTTTACATATTTTTAGGAAGGTCAGGCCTAGAAAACGTTGATTCTATAAAAATATTATTTTAAATATTTTTTAGGAAGGTCAGTCCTGGAAAACTTGGATTTTATAAAAGATATGATTTTAAATATTTTTTCTAGGATGACCAGGCCCAAAAAACTTGGATTTTATAAAAATATGATTTTAAATATTTTTTAGGAAGGTCAGGACTGGAAAACGTGAATTTTATAAAAATATGATTTTTATTTTCTAGGATGACCAGTTAAATATGCCAGGCCTGGGAAGCGTTTTTTAAAAAAAGTTTGTTTCAAAATATTTTTCTAGGATGGCCAGGCCTGGAAAACGTGCATTTTATAAAAATATTTATTCTGAATTTTAAAATTTTTTTTCAAATTTTTGTTTGAGATCGTATTTTGCTGTTCCTCCTCCCAACCTCGCATCGAACTATACTATAAACCAACAACAGCAACAGCGCCATGTAATTTTTTTTTTACCTTCCCTTGGTGGGTTGGTTGGCTATTACCACAGATTGCGTTGCCGCTGAACTTATCTATGGTGGGAGTTGCTCTATTGCCTGTGCCTTTATGACTATACCATGACGAGCGAAAAAGCAAAGAGAGAAAAAGGCAGGGGTGTATGTGTAGCTGTATGAGAGTCTATAATTTATTACAACCATTAAAATATTAGAACAACGTTATCGCGTTTACAAAATCACAACGTTGCTTGCTTGCTGTATATGTGTTTGTGTGTCGTAAATCCTTACCATTGCATGGGGGAGGGGTTATGGCGCCCAACCATAATCGTTGCAGACCATATAATCATTATGGCATGAGCCAATCAGAATTTAGTAGAGCAAACTATGACATAAGCTGGCAATGTTGAATGTTTTGAAGGGCGGGGAGAGGGGGGCGGAGTGGAGGGTAATGGAAGTTTGGTGGGAAATCCACATTGAGTTATCAAAATGGATGATTTTGAAAAATATAAGAAAAATGTCAATGAAAAACTTGAATGATTTGACAAAAAAAGGGTAAATGTGAAACAATTATGGCACTGACTAGCATCGAAAAAATGATTTTTTAAAGGTTTACTTTACTTAATAAAGCAACAAATTTAATTGATAAAAATATAAAAAATTAAAGAAATATATAAATAAAAAATTAAAAAAAATAAATAAATAAAAAATTTAAAAGAATAAAAAAATATATAAATCAATAATTAAAAATAAGTAAATAATAATATCCATTCTGAAAAAATATTCATTGGAAAAAATATAAAAATAAAAAAATTAAAAAAAATGAATGAAAAAATTTAAAAGAATTAAATTTACGAACTATAGCTATCTCTGAACCGGGTTTCTCCAAATTTTACGTATTAGCTTCTAGACTGAATGCGGTGTTATGTACGAAAATTCAGGTGATTTGGGCTGATATTGACCATTTAGTACACATTTAACCCGAAATCGGATGAAGATATATATGGGAGCTATATCCAAATCTGAACCGATTTCGATAAAATTACAAACAGCTATTTCTGGGCTGTATCTTATATCTGGTACCAAATATCATTCTTGTGGAGTGCATATTACGAATGTGAGAGGCTTAAACACCAAATCGGATAAAACATATATATGGGAGCTATAGCTGTTTCTGAACCGATTTTCTCCAAATTTGTTGTATTTGCTTTAAGGCTAATCTCGGTCACATGTGCCAAAATTCGGGCCATTTGGGCTGATATTGGCCATTTGGTGGTCAATTAACCCGAAATCGGATGAAGATATATATGGGAGCTATATCCAAATCTGAACCGATTTCGATAAAATTTAAAATACCTATTTCTGTGCTCCATCTAATACCTGGTACCAAATATCACGGTTGTGGAGTGCATAGTAGGAATGTGAGGGACTTAAAGATCAAATCGGATGAAAGATATATATGGGAGCTATAGCAATATCTGAACCGATTTTCTCCAAATTTGATATACTTGCTTCTAGGCCGAATTCCGTTGGGTGTGCCAAAATTCAGGTAATTTGGACTGATAGTGGACATTTGGTGCACATTTAACCCGAAATCGGATGAAGATATATATGGGAGCTATATCTAAATTTGATCCGATTCTCACCAATTTCAATAGGGTTCGTCCTTGGGCCAAAAAAATATTGTTTGGAAAATTTCATCTCAATCGGATAATAAATGCGACCTGCATTTTGTTCACAAGAATACATGGACAGACGGACGGGCGGACGGACGGACGGACGGACGGACGGACAGACGGACTGACATGCATAAATCGACTCAGAAAGTGATTCCATGAAGGTTCTCAAAAGTAACTATGGGTCTATCTCGTTTCCTTCTCCATGTTACAAACAAATGCACAAAGACATAATACCCTTACCACTATGTGGTGTAGGGTATAAAAATATTCCTTGAAAAAAAAAAAATATAAAAATAAAAAATTAACTAAAAATTAAAAATTTGATTTAAATAATTAAAAACAAATAAATTAAAAATTAATGAAAATATCCATTCTGAAAAAAAATTCCTTTGAACAAAACTTCTTTACAAATCAGCATTTTCTTGGTCTAGACATATTTGCAGAACTTTCCCTTAAAAATAATTCTTAAAAAAGAAGTCCTTCAACATCCAAGTTTTCTTGATCTGGCCATCCTTGAAAAAATATTCTTAAAAAATCCACGTTTTCTTTAAATAGCTATCGTTGAAAAAGTATTCTCAAAAAATCCACGTTTTCTTCAAATGTCCATTTTTGAAAAAATATTTTTCAAAAATCCACGTTTTCTTCAACTAGTCATCCTTGAAAAACTATTCTTAGAAAATCCACGTTTTCTTCAAATGACCATCGTTGAAAAAATATTCTAAAAAAATCCACGTTTTCTTTAAATAGCCATCCTTGAAAAAGTATTCTTAGAAAATCTACGTTTTCTTCCATCCTTGAAAAATGTTTTCAAAAAATTCACGTTTTCTTTAAATGGCCAACCTTAAAAAAATATTCTTAAAAAATCCACGTTTTCTTCAAATAGTCATCCTTAAAAAAAATATTCTTAAAAAATCCACGTTTTCTTCAACTAGTCATCCTTGAACAAATATTCTTAAAATACCGCGTTTTTTTCAACTAGCCATCCTTGAAAAAATATTCTTAGAAAATCCACGTTTTCTTCAAATGACCTTCGTTGAAAAAATATTCTAAAAAAATCCACGTTTTCTTCAAATGGCCATCCTTGAAAAATGTTTTTAAAAAATCCACGTTTTCTTTAAATGGCTATCCTTGAAAAAGTGTTTTTAAAAAATCCACGTTTTCTTCAAATGGCCATCCTTGAAAAAATATTCTTAAAAAATCCACGTTTTCTTCAAATGGCCATCCTTGAAAAAATATTCTTAAAAAATCCACGTTTTCATCAACTAGTCGTCCTTAAAAAATTATCCATAACAATACGTTTACTTGGACCGAAAAATATTCTTAAAGCCCAAATTTTCTTGGTCTGGCTTCAATTGAAAAATATTCCCCCAAAATCCTCCCATTATTGAGTCCTTATTAACCTTGAAAGGTTTTTCTCAGACAAATCAATGATTTTATTATTGCTCATCATTGAAAAATTATTCTCGAAAAACTCGACCTAGCTATCCCTAACTCAGAGTTATTGTTACATAAAACCAAGCCATAAATCAAGTATCGTCTAAAATCTATTATTTTTATTTCCTTTTCAAATTCTCACACCAATAAACTCAGAAGTAATCATCAATGCTGGGCAAAATACCATCACAGTACTACCAGGTGGACCAGGCAGTCCAGCCTTGTTGTTTCAATACCAATTGGGCTACAAAGACTCTAGTAGAGTGCTGGAATTTTTCATATCTCCTTCGAAGTTAAATTACCTTTTTGGATGTTCTAGTAAGGTGAGTATACTTAAAACGCTTTTTTGACCAGCTTAAGTCATCGGCAGGCTTCTTCGTAGAGGAAAAAAGGAGTTTTAGGTTGACTTAGTTCGATTTTGGCCCTAAGCTTTTTTGTTCTTTTAAGAATAAACCAGCCAATGACTTAAGTCAGTCAAAAAAGCGTTTTATGTATTCTCACCTTTATTGAATCTAAGTGGCGCCCAACGTTGGGGTCTTTTTACAACATAAAAAGGATTTCTTTTTTAAAAAAAAAGGAAAATAAATAAAACTTCTTTTAATTTCAATCAAAATTATTCAATTTATTTTTATTCAAATCCCATCGTCAGAAAAAACTTAGAAGCAATCATCAATGCTGGGCAAGGTACCATCACAGTACTTCCAGGTGGACCAGGCAGTCCAGCCTTGTTGTTTCAATACCAATTGGGCGCACTTGACGGCGGGTTCAATGCTATCGACCAAGAAATCTTCACACTTGATCTTGCACTCATCGTAGGAGAACGCACCGGATGGGGGAGAGCACCAGTAGTAGTTGTTGATTTGGAAGATGCCATAGTCGCGAGAGCCATTGGAGTTCAAGGAGCCAACAGCCTTGGTGTTGTAGGACGATTCGTGTTGAGCAATACAGGTCCAGCGGGCCAATTGGTTCTTTGGTACACCCAATTTGTACATTTCACGGGCCAACGAACAACGGTTGTAGACCGTGCCGAAGGCAGGGGCAACCAAGAGGACAGCAGCCAAAATAGCGAAGGTGAATTTGAACATTTTGCTTAAGTTGCCGAAAACAAACTATGCTTTCCTCCAAAATGTCTGGGGTTTTTATAGCAACAATTGTTGCAGTGGAAATTGATAAGAGCCTCAATGATGGATGGGCCGATGATGAATGGCTCTCGCGACTATGGCATCTTCCAAATCAACAACTATTACTGGTGCTCTCCCCCATCCGGTGCCTTCTCTTACGATGAGTGCAAGATCAAGTGTGAAGATTTCTTGGTCGATAGCATTGAACCCGCTGTCAAGTGCGCCCAATTGGTATTGAAACAACAAGGCTGGACTGCCTGGTCCACCTGGAAGTACTGTGACGGTACTTTGCCCAGCATTGATGACTGCTTCTAAATTTATTGATGAAGGATTTTAAAACGAAATAAAATAAAAAGATTAAAACGTAATGTAAGTTTTTCTTTACTTTGCTCAGTCAGTAGGTGTCTATAGTGTTTTCCCAGAGATCCACAGAACTCCATATTAGATGTTTGCTTTGCTCAAGTTTATTATTCTTTTGAAAGTTCTACTTTCGTTTTGATTATATGCCAAATAATAACCATTGTAAAATTAAGAAGGTAAAGTCATTTACAATAAGCATATCCATCTCTGCAATTTTTGTCATTTGCCTTTGTCAAATTTCACTGAGTAGAAAGAGGTTCCCATTTCCTATTTCTGTGTATACATTGAATTTATAAATATAAGTTTTGACAATGAGATCTTGTCAAACGATTAATTTTGAAAAAAAAAATTGTAAACATATGATTGAATGACTTTACTTTCTTAAGGTGGGAATACATAAAGCGCTTATCTGACTGGCTTAAGTCATCGGCTGGCTTCTTCGGAGATGAACAAAGGAGCCTAGGGCCAAAATCGAACTAGGTCAACCTAAAACTCCTATGTTCATTTACGAAGAAGCCAGCCGATGACTTAAGCAAGTCAAATATGCGCTTTATGTATTTCCAGCCTTAATCCTGCCATTTAAATAACGAGTATCTGTAAAACGTTAATTTAGTTGGCGTTAAAAAGTCGTTCGTAATTCCTTACATTATTTACATCATTTGTGACAGGTTTACCTTCAGTGGCACTTGCTTTGTTCCAGAACTGCAAGAATGTAAAAATTTGATTGAAAAAGTACACATGTCGCATGGTAGAAGAATACAGGTACTCGCATCAACACAGCTGCTGGGGCAATGAACTGTCAAACCAATTCTGAAATTGAAAATTTTGAATGAAAAATTATTGAAATTTGTCAAAATTAATCAACAATGATATGTATTGTCGACCTCCGATTGTTGTCGTACAAGAAATCATACAAAAATCTACTTATTTTTGAAAAACATTTTTAAAAATTGTGAAATATCTATGTTCCCAAGCGTTAATGTATTTACCTGTATTCTTCTACCATGGTATGCACTTCATGTATTTCACAACTGAAATTTCGTCCATATGTAACAAAATATATTCAACTTCTATATTTAGGAAATTTGACATTGCACATGTAAAAACATTTCGTCTGATGTAGCCTTTATGGCGAACAAATTGTTTTGTTTTGACAAATCAGCTGATGGGTTGCAGGGATGCCATCTGTTTACTTTTGACAGTTTACTTTTAAAAGAGAAAGGAACTTCCATGGCAGAAGAATACATGTAGTCGCATCCACACAGCTGCTGGGACAATGAACTGTCAAATCGATTTTGGAATTGAAAATCTTGAATGAAAAATTATTGAAATTTGTAAAAATTGTTGAAAAGGCGTATTATAATAACGGTATAAGAAAACATATAAAAATCCACTTATTTTTCATAAAACATTTAAAAAATTTTGACATATCAATGTTCCCAATCGTTGATGCATCTTCTTCTACCATGGTTTCCTTATATAAGAGAATGGAACTACCATGGTAGAAGAATATAGGTAGTCGCATCCACACAGCTGCTGGAACAATGAACTGTAAAACCGATTTTAGAATTGAAAATCTTGAATGAAAAATTATTGAAATTTGTAAAAATTGTTGAAAAATACATATCATTACAGCCTACGAAAACATATAAAAATCTACTTATTTTTGTCAAAACCTTTAAAAAATGATGGCATATCAATGTTCCCAAGCGTTGATGCGTCTACCTATATTCTTCTACCATGGAAACTACCTTACACTCTGATAGCCAATTTAGACTAGTCATTTTAAATAGACCCGTTTTCCAACATTTAAATCCTACTTTTTTAGAGTAGTTTAAAATGATGTAAAATGCATAGTACAATAAAATAAAGGTAACCTCATTTCAAATTAGCATTCCCAGCTCTGCATTTTCTGTAATTTACTTAGTTAAATTTCAATGAATAAAAAACAGATCCCATCTCTGATTTTGTGTGTATACGATGGATTTATGAACATAAATTTTGACAATGAGATGCTGTCAAATGTATAAATTTGAAAAAATGTAAACATATGATTGCATGACTTTACCTTTTTAGTTCTACCATGATAAAATGTTAGGCAGCTAATTTGTTCTTAAGTATACATCCTCCGTTATTTATTTATTCAACATTTTGAAAAAAAAAAATAATTGTTTGTAGGGTATAGCCCATGATAGAAAAATACAGGTAGTCGCATCGACACAGCTGCTGGGACAATGAACTGTCAAAACGATTTTGGAATTGAAAATGTTGAATGAAAAATTATTAAAATTTGTAAAAATTGTTGAAAAGTTCATATTATAACAACCTCTGATTTGCGTCGTATAAAAAAATAATTAAAAAATCCACTTATTTTTCATAAAACATTTTAAAAATTTTGACATATCAATGTTCCCAAGCGTTGATGCATCTACCTATATTCTTCTACCATGGTATACTGAACATTTCTTGAAGGAAAAGTAACCATAATACACCTAATACTAGAGACCAATTTTAAAGGCAAACAAAAAATCATATCTGAATACAAATATTCAAATCTACATCTGTCAAGAACAAATTTGAGGGATCGCTCAAAAATATTGAACGTTTTCACAGCAAAAAAGCTGTATATTACATAACAGTCTTTGAGAAAATCGAACATATCTTACAATTAATGAGGCTTCATTTGGTCCATAGACTTTTATTCAGTGTATGTTTTTTTAATTTTTATCAATTTTTCTTTTCAGGTGTTAGGAGAAAAATACATACATCACTAGTAATGATAATGGAATTGATGCGGAAATTTTATGTTAACCAAAAGCACTTACCTTTAATGCTAGGAACACAATTGGAGCGAACGACGAATTTTTTCGCGGCGTATGTTCGTCGTCAAAAATAAAAACCATATGTGTATATGGAAGTGCACACAATCACGGCGCCGGCGAAAATTTCGTCGGTCGCCGCGAACTCAATTAGCTTTATTTCTATTTCATACGCCGGCGAACGGCGACAAAACAGTACAAGGTGGCCATACTTGTACGAATTTTATGTGTTTTAGTAAATAAAGTTACTTTTTACTTAAAAATTTGTTATGGTCACTCTACTATCTGTTATTCGTATAAAAAAACATAAATAATTTGTTTATTTATTTGTGCACTTGCGCCTGAGTGAAGATGGATATCAGTGAATTTATAATAGAAAAGATGGACATAACTGAAATTATAAAGAATTATGAGTTCTTGTATAATTTTCATTGTAGTCAACAAATGAGCAAAAAGTAAACAACTTCATCAGCTGTTTTATAATTTCGTCGGTATTGTGTTCCATACGACGAATTTTCGCGGCTCATTTTGTCGCCGCGTAGGGCGAAATTCGTCGTTCGCTCCAATTGTGTTCCTAGCATAAGATGTGTCCATCGATCAATAATCGATTAAATTAAGACAATTTCTTATCGATTTGTTTACAATAATAAAGTAAACAGAGAGCACACGCCCCACACATAATTGAGGTTATTAAACAAATTATGCTGGAGCGAATTTTGTTAGGGATTTGTATATCTTAATGTGGGGTACTCACTATCTAACATGATTGATCGAACATGACTTTGAAAAAAAAAAATAATCGAAAAGAAAGTTATTTTTAGTTTTGTTTTGAAAATTGTTTTCAGTTAATATATGTTAATGGCCTAAATCGTTGTTAAATATCGTAGGCCGCATAGAAATCCAGTTAAAACTAGTAGTTATTATTTAACTACTAAACACATTATCACTGTTAATGTCATGAAAATTGATGCCACAAATTATGTTTACGAAAATTATATATCTGTTTTTTCACCGATCAATAATTGATTACAATTTTAAATTTTTAAATATTTAAAAAAATGGTAAACAAAAAAACAGCGTTCACTAAACTAGACAGTAGTATTTATCGATAATTATTTAGCATAATATCTAAATCTTGAAATGAGCTACACATTATCAAACATGATTGATCTGTCATGACAGTCAAGGATTTTTCCAATGGTGCCTTTACAAATGGTCACGTAGGCACAATATTTTGTGATCTTGTGTAACAAGCTAAAGAATCAATCACAATAGAGTTAACCTACGTTTTTCATGCTCAAATTTATTGTGATTGTTCTTTTAAGGCTACATTTACACGAACCGATTTTCATAAAAAAACTTAGTAGAAGACTGCAGGTAGATTCATCAACGCTTGAGAACATTGATAAGTAAAAATTTTCCAAACTTAAGAAGATTTTTTATATTTTCTTATACGACGCAAAGCGGATGTTGTTACGATATGCATTTATTAAATTTTTTTACAAATTTCAATAATATTTTATTCAACATTTGCAATTCCAAAATCGATTTGACATTTCATTTTCCTTCTATCATGATAAACCCCTTGATTTTAGTTGGCAACTCTAATCCAAAAAATGACAGATAATAGTAATTCGCGACTATATAACCCTTTTTCATACGGTGAGGCAATGTTTTGTCAAAAATAAGTAGATTTTTATATGTTTTCTTATGCGATGCAAATAGGGGGGTTTTAATTTATGCATTTTTCAACAATTTTTACAAATTTCAATAATTTTTCATTCAAAATTTTTAATTTCAAAATTGGTTTGATAGTTCATTGTTCCAACACCTGTGTCGATGCGACTACTTGTATTCTTCTACCATTATAAAACCATTCATTAAGTTGGCAACTCTATAACAAAAAATGACTGATAATAGCAATTCGCGACTACATAACCCTTTTCATACAGCGTGGCAAGGTTTCATTAAGAAGGTTAGGTAAGGTAACCTGGAGAAGTCATATGCTTGTGTATATTTTTTAAATTATTCATTTGAAAAAATCTCATTGTCCAAATATTTTTTAAAGTTAGAGTTGACAAGTTAAACTACAGAAAATGCAGAGCTGGGCTATATTCTTGTTCTATGACAAAAATGATCTCTCATTTTTGGCGTGTAATGAAAAGAGATGACAACCTTAATGAAGAGTT